CTCTCTCGCAGAAGGATCATCATGATCATAATACGGTAACTCAAAATGGATATTGTGATGATTTTAACTACGTGGTTGTGATGTTAGCTATTGTACTAACGGTTGTGTTGAAGATAGTGATAGTTATGATTATGATTGCAACGACGATGATGATAATGATGGTGGCGGCATCGGCGTTGATTATGACAATGAAGATGATGCCAGTAACATAGGGAACGTTCGTAACATACAATACAGACCAAGTTGGCAAATTACCAAATTTACGAGAGAAAACAAATCCCGTGACCTTCAAAGAATTACAAGTCAGCATTTAAAATACATATAAAAAAACATGCTTACGACATTGCATTCATTCAATGCCTTGTTGTACATAACTGGACACCATTGGGGCACACAAACCTTCGCATTAGCGTTTGTCTTTCCACTTCACCATTGAAAGTAGCAAATGAGGAATTTTTAATTTGCTGCGAGTAAGAGGTGCTTGTTGTCCTTCTCCCGCACCCCCGATTAGCGTGGTTGGCTAAGTACGGTGCGAAAGAAGTTCAACATACAGTAACAGATGCGTGGGTTCAATGTCCGGCCATGGCTAACATCAGTGGCGCTTGATATCTTAACCGGTTCTGTCCACCCCGTCCTTCCTTCGCATTCAAGCCGCATTCACCAGCGCTGCGAGGCATGGCCAATCCAACCCATTCATGGCAGATGCGGCCTTCATCCAGCAGTGGATTGATAAAGGCCGGTTTATTATTAATACATTAAATAATGTTTATTCCACCAGTACTATACAGATATATGGACCCTGAGTTTCACACAAAACACGTGCACAGCAAAGCTTTCAGCCTTTGTGCATCAGACAAAAACCATCACCCGCCCCTTGAAGTCGTGGACTAGCTAGCTCACTAAAGCTATATACTATACACCGTATACGAATCAAAACATAATAATCGGTTCTCACGCCATGTGATTCGCATATCAAGTGAGCCTTTATCGATGAATTGATTGGTTAATAATCCGAAATACCGTTCTTCTTTTGTATGGCTTTTATAGATGCAGAGCAACAAGTAGAATTTCAGTTTTTCAGTTTCATTTATTAGGTATAGCCCTGTGAGCCATGCGGCTCTTGACTCGGGTGCAACCGCAACAAAACAAAAACATGAACCAGAAACATCTAAATGTGACTAAATGCAACAGAAAAATCCTGGGGAAAATAAGCAAAGTCTTCCAAAAAACCCACCGTATTTCACATTGAGGTGGTCAATCCCGGATAAACCGCGTAAGGGACAGCGGAGTGTACATCGCTGCGATGTCTCCTTCGTATTTGTGGATCGGGTATTCCGTCGTTAGACGTTGTTACGGGCTCTTCTGGGTGACCACAGTCGCACACTACTGGAGAGTTTTTAATGTTCCCATTTGTGCATCAGGTATCTGCATCTACTGCCATGGTTTGTGCGGTGGATGCAATTTGTGGTGGACCGTGGACTTCGTGGAAGATCAAACTCTAGGGATATTTTTGCGTTGGGTCTTTCACAAGTATATAGTGCATATACTGTACATGGCCGTAGCCATGGAGTCAACATTGGGGGGGGGGGAGACCAAATCTTCCAGGTTGTCTGGGGGTCCCAACCCAGAAAAATATCTAAATTTGAAAACTAATTTCCTGACTAAAACATTAAAAAAATCACTAACACATGGGATAGACTTTTCCTTTATTTTTTACAATGTATAATAGTGTATTACATTGCTCTGTTTTTACTTTTTTACCTTTTCTTGTTTCATTGTATGTAATGGCAGAGATTAGGGATTAATAAAGTACAACCATAACCACAATCATATGAACAGAAAGCTATGCATTGATTTATATGAAGACAAGTCCAGATATTGTGGCCAAGGTTTAGCAAATTGTTGTTTTTATTTACATAGCATCGCAATTTTTTTGCAATATATTGGGGGCGGGGGGAACATTTTGAGCATATTGGAATATAGGGGGGGAATGTGTCCCCCCCAATATATTATAATTACGGCCTTGATACTGTACCAGGGCCGTGTTATCTAATAGTTGTCATAGGCACAATTCCTATAGTACCTACTGTGTCTACTAAAACTAAAAGGGCCTAATAAAAAATGTGACATTTTGTATGATAAAAATGTAACCAATATATCTTCTTGAATAAACAATATGTACATAGCAAATGTAGGGACAGTGTATATTCAAAAAGGCAGAGTCATGTCGATCGTTTTATTTTTTTCATAAGGTGAGAGAAATTAACCCCAGAGATGAACTTTGCGGGATTGTTTCCTTGCGAATTTAGCAATAACACCTCCGAATGGTGTGCTCATTCTCAATAGAGATGAAAGAGCATGGGAAGGCAAGGCGGCGTTGTCGTGCCGCGCGTGAAACAAGCGGAGTGACAGCTGCGATTGTAGGTTATAACATGGAGGAGCAGCAGCAGTACTAACTACTGGAAAGTTATCACTGAAGGCCCACGAAACAGAAGTGCCTAGGGCCTTCCGAGCGCCTTAATCCGGTCCCTGTGCTGCACGGAGACATCACGGCGTGAGAGCTTGGCATGGCTACACACACTCCTCGCGTTGCGGGGCCGCTGTGCTCTTAAACAAACACGCAGTCCCCTCTGGCTGTGCGTCATCGTGTCCGCCTGATCAAAGGAAAGCGGAAAAGTAATGTTTTGTCATGGTTAACCGTTGTGTATAGTCAGTCAAAGTGATTTTCTGCTCAAATGGGCATCGATGCGGCGATCGCCTTCCGTTCACAGCCCCTTGTGCCCGGAGTGGAAACGCCAAATGCATACGGAATAATCTAGAATTGAAGCTTTCGTGACTGCAGAAATTACTATACTCATTATTTTCGGTAAAGTCAAGACATGTGGGTGAAGTCTCTGGGCATGGTCAGCCACTGGTTGACGTCCCCTCCCTATACAGTGTTCCTAATACTGGTAGGAACGAAGTAGTAAACTGAGTGTACCAGCCTGCAATAGATTAATGTGTCCGTCCGTCCCCTTTCAATACTTTAACGAAGTGAAATCTCGTGCTGTTGGGTGTAAAATCAGCAATAGACAGCGCAGAGACTTGTCCTACCAGCCCACCCTGCAGGGACCTGTTTGTATCGACCGACCCAGAGGGATGATGAGAGGCTGGAGTCAACCTCCTCTGACCAGGAGTTGAACTGGTTTGCGAGCCACTCGCTCGATCACCGGCGCAATCGCCCGGCGCGGGTTTAAACGAAACGTAGCCCACAGAGACCGCTTTGTTGCTGCTCCAACGAGCGCCTTTAGTCGGCGCTCACTTCGTTTGGGGGTGGCCTTGGAAATTCCACGTTCCCACGGCGGTGGCACGTTAGCCTACAGGGTTTTTTTTTTCATTCAGTTAGATGGTAATGGATCCATTAGCGCATTCAGTTCTTTATTAATACACTGTGCTTATTGATGAAGGCCTCCCTCCACACGCCAAGTCGATGGATGGGGGTCATTTGACGATACAGTACTTCACGCTGGTCGTTGCTAATGTGGGGCAGGGGTAAAGGGGGACGATTCAGATTTCAGTCGCTACCGATGATTTCAGTCGCTACCGATGATTTCAATCGCCAGGCATCGAACGCAGCGCGAGTCAACGCTCCACCACACTGCTGCAACCCAAGAGTATAATTGTACTGTAATGATATTTATCCAGAAGAGCCGAAGTCTCAAGACACGTTTGACCAATTACATTAGTGTTTGACTTCATGTGGGAGGAAATCATAGACCCTAAAGGCAATCCACCCCCCATCGAGGGATAACACTTCAATTCTTACAAAGTGCCACTCACTTGAATAACCCCCTAAGCCAAACGCGCATAAATGGAATTGGCCAAAATAGTCTTGAGACTTAGGCTTTTCTAGAAAAGGAATTATTAGACATCATTATTTAACAATGTATTTACTTTTGAACGTTTTAAAATGTAAATTGTATTTTTGTATTGCTGCATTAATGATGTAATGCAAACACAGTATAACTGACATCGTTTCTCAAATGTAATTCCACGTATCTCTCTGTGCTTCTCGTGTTGTTCTGTGTCGTTCATGACCACGTTCAGAAGTAACCACGAACCGTGGCAGGTAGTAACGCGCTCATAAACACACTCCGCTCATTTTTGGGCACACTGCGTTATTTTAAAACCGAAGACGCATTACTTTTCACAATCATGTTCACCGTTGGACCTGCACCTGCTTTTAAATAATCATACATCCAACAACAACACCCAGACTGTCGCCCTAACCAACAGGTGGTTGGTTTGGGCAATACCCGTAATTGAAAAACCCAACCAATTACTTTATCTTAATTATATTTACATTTTCCCTGCGCCTCCGACCAATAATAATTAACACGTGTCACGCACTGCGATGACGTAATAACATCCGTTCAATTGCGTGACGTCCCTGGACGGGGAAACATTGTGGGGAGGGGGGGCGATCACGTGGGGTGGGGGGGTCACGTGGGGTGGGAAATAGAATCGGATACAATCGATTCGATTCAATCGCACGCCGCTCGATAAAATTATTAATCGGCGCCGCTGATTAGTTTTATTGAAGTATTGGTGCTTAGTTTTATTGAAGTAAAATATTTTCAATCACGGCCCGGTTCGATTGCGTGCGATGGTGGTTGATGTTGTTGGTGATCGCGGCAGGAAGATTTACCACGTTGCGAAACGACGTCACGCAACATTTTCAAACGGTGACGAGGTTGCGATGACGTCACGGAAGGGGGCGGAGCTGGCCGATGACGGTAGGCGGGGGGGGCGAGCGGGGGAGGGGGGGGGTTAAGCGGGGGCCACGTGATATGAGAAATTGTGGGCCGGATGGGGGGCGGGGGACCGGAGATTGAGAGAGAGGGGGGAGGGTGGCGCAGTCACGTGACGCTGGTTGGCGGGAATCCGCCGCAAGCCGGCTCGCGCTGGCTGCGTCGCGCGCCGAGCCACCCCTCCCCCCTTACCCAGAGTGCCCCGCCCCTCCCCGCCCAACTGTCACGCCTATATAAGGCGGGGGCCAAGCACGAGGCATTGTCGTCGCTGCTGCCGCTGCTTGCTTCACGCTGCGTCGCCACTGCCCTTCAATTCCGACGCGTAGACTTCAATGGAAAAAGCCTTTGTAAATGCTTTTTAAGGTAAATGCGCGTGTTTTAATGCGGGTACGTGTGCGCGAGTCTTTTTTTTCGTGTTTAGCAACAAATGTGTTTTTTAAAAAAAGGTCCGTATCCGGTGTGTATATATATTTTACATTTGTATTCCTGTCGGCCGTGGCCAGAAAAAGCCGGTTCCGTTACGTGGCGTGGTGGTGTGACTCATTGTGTAACAAGTCCTGCCAACTACTGCGTGAATTCATTCGTGCGTTAAGGCAACGTACAAAAATTGCCTGCTTATGTAATCCTTAGAAGTGTGCGGTTTTTTTTAGTTTGCGTTCGCGTCTTTTATCCGTTTTAACAAAAATGTTTTATTCGAGTGAGGGGAAGGTTCCGAATCTACGTGGCACGGAAATGTTACATTTAACCATGAGAGTAAAATTTTTACCTTGAGACAAAAAAAAAGTTTGGTTTACCAAACGTAACGTCTTAATTTTTTTATTTATTAACAAAATGGCATGTGTAACCTTTTCAATGCGCTTAGCCTTTTTATTAAATATTAATTAAACGTGCTTTTCTATACAGGACCTATAAAAATGTCCTTGAAACCGGAAGCCTTAAAAACACGAATTGAGTAAAATATCAAAAGTCTCTTAATAGTGATTGTTTTATCAATAGATGTTATTACTACTATTTAAAATAAAGTACGCGCCATTATACCGTTTATTACAAAATAACTGCTTTCCATATTAACTTTGGCCGTCTCGAGAGACTTAATTCACCGAGTTAGCTATCGTGCATTATATAGCGTTTCAAAAAGACAGACCCAATTTCGAAGCAGTACTCTTTGGCCTCTGCTTTGAAATCGCATCAATGTTTTAAAAAAAGGCCCTATTTCTGCGTTAATTATATCACGAAACTTGAACAAAAGTCCAAACTTTATACCGGTGCCGCAAGTTTTAGGAGGTGGGCGAGTTCGTGTCACGGTTTTACAATGTTGTGACGCACATGCGCTCACTTTTTTAATTACAATGCAAGTAACTTTGCTGTTGTCTCCTAATATGACTGCTGATATATTTTGTGGTGGTGGGTGGGCCTCTCTCGCTCCAGGACACTTACTCAAACCAGACTGAAAAGGGCCTCTTAGCGGGTTCCCTTGTTCATCTGGAGCACTACAGAGAACCTCCTTGGCGACCCCGGTGACGAAGCCCTTCTGTTGAACTCGGATCTTTTTAATTTCACGGTAAGGTCTTCCGCGATCGTCTTTTCGCCCGAACCCCATGCGCAACAAAGCCACTTTGCCCGTTTTAATTCTCCAAATATATACACATTCGCATGCTTCCCCAACGGCGTGTGGTGGCTGTAAGGTGTAGGGTACGGTACACTTTTCCATTGTGTGGAAGAGTAGGCCAAAAATCGATGGAGGGACTCTTGACCTCCATTGAGTGGAGGCCAATACATTAGTACGATGGTCTTAATTCTAGACCTTTAACTTTAACCTACTACTTGCACACCAAGCGTTCTTGCCAAGAAATGGCGGTGCTGCCGTCACCATTTGGCAATCGCCAAGCTAGAAATGCGGTTCAAGAAAATTGGCGGGGGGGGGATGTAGAGATGGTTATGTAAACGTGGTAACTCGAGTAGAATTCCTGGCAGAAATGAAGAAACCAGGACAGACAGTGGTTTTGGAGCCAAACCTCTATTAGGGGTTTACCTTGGGAGGGTAGGGGGGGGCCTTGTCAAACCCGGTGTCGAAGTGACCTGCAAGTGGAACTAGCCTGTTAATGTTTTTGGTGTAATCAGTTTGAGCTTACAAATGAGATGGGTTTTGGAATGTATCATCCAACTCCACTTGTTAAAATAGCTACTTGCCACTCTCCCATCCATACTTGGAAAGCCCCATGAGCTTTTCCTGTTGGTGTTGCTCCAAGTCTACTCTTCCTACCATCCCGAGCACTATTTCTGCAGTTGTACTCCCCAAACTGTCCTCTCCTGAAAACACATCTATATTCACGCTTCACTATGGTGGAAAGCATTCTGTTTCAAATATTTTAGTCACTTTTCCACAGTGGTTTTGTTGAAATAGCATTGTTTAGAGTTGATGGTACTAATAATTATTGTTGCAAATTGCTTGGTGTTAGGTACATTCAAAAATATTTTGCGTGGCAAGCAGCTTTAAAAGTGAGCTTTAATTTAAGCAAAATTGGCATGTATGCTTAATGAACGGTCTGTTGCCCCTTAACAATACCTGCATCAGATTATGCCAGCAAGTACACTGAAATCACAACATGCTATTGTGACGATAAAATGAGTTGGCTTTGGTGCCTCATTGTCCTCTGGATTATACAGCATTGCAGTCTAGCAGACCACAGTAGCAAGTGGCATTGAAAGACTCCCATGCACAATGTGATTGAGTTTCTTTGGACCCTTTTCTCTTCCCAGTGAAAATAAGTTAAGGGAGCCATGTCTGGACTTGAAACAAGTGAGCTGAAGCTGACTCCACTGGAGGATGATGTGAGCCTTCATGATATGCTGGAGGCCCGCATCCAAGAAATGAGAACGGTATGATGAAATCAATTACTGTACATAGAATCGTCCTTTTCAAGTAAGAAATTGACCAGAAAAAGAAATTTCCCCTTTTAAAATGCATACAAACTGTTTGAAACGTGTGTGAAGCTGTTAATGTTGGTATGGCTAAGGTTTTTGAATTGGTAGCTTTGAATGTAGTATTTTAGGTTATTTCTTCAGGGGAAGTTTGGTCACTTGCAGAGTGGGAGAACTGAAATGCCCATATCAACATTGATGTTTAAAATTAATTTTAAAATGAGATAGGAATTCATGAAAGTGAAATAAGTCTTTTTTTCAGTCTTCTGCTGGATGAAGTCCTTCCTAATCTATTAGTCATGAAGTGGGGGGAGGGTGATGGATAGGACAAGTTCTACTTGCCGCTGTTAGCTGTGGCTGGAATTACATTACTGCAAAAGTGCCTCAACAGTTTTAATGTTCCTTTTTTACGCAATTGGAGTTGGGCTCCTTTTTGTGAAGCAGTCTGGTTGCCTGTGTACATGGAGGTTGGAAAGATGATACAGGATAAATGTATTTTGGACAAGATTGTAAACTTATTTTAAAGTAAAACAAAAAATGCGCTCCTGAAAATTGTAAGGGCTTTGGGACTGTAATCTTTGAGGTTGGTCTAGAAAGAATGCCGCTCTATCCTACTCGGTCTTTTAGGCACCACCTCTTGCTGCGGGGGTGATTTTGACAAAAGGGCAGCTGTGTGGGTCCTTGTGCTTGCATGGGATCAGTTTGTGGGGGTTGTGCAGCTATTTTTTAAGTTGTCAAAATATGCCTTTGTGACTGCATTGGGTTAATTAGAAAGTTTTAACACATTGAGTAAACAGGTTGCTGGGTGCCTTTTTTTAATGGGCATTAATAACTCGATGGCCTTTCTTAATGTGGGTCGTTTCTATTTTCACCTGCCAGGATGAGAAGGATGCCTTCTACGTGGTGGACCTGGGGGACATCGTGAGGAAGCACCTGCGCTGGCTCGGCACCCTGCCTCGTGTGCGGCCCTTCTACGCTATCAAGTGCAACAGCACTCAGACCATCGTACACACCCTCGCCACGCTGGGCGCTGGCTTTGACTGCGCCAGCAAGGTACGTTCAGTGTTGTGGACCATTGGGATAAGCCTGAAAAAGGGCTCTTTTAAACAATTGACAACTGCTTGTGACAATCGTTTGCTTTCCAGTTGTAGGAGGAAATTGGATGCCTGATGCAAAAAAATGCCCATATGGATGTATTTAAAGGAGTTGTATATTAGAATCCATCGTAGTTTTAAGTTTATTTACTGCAAATGCCATGTTTGCAAGGAAAGTCATATGGTGTAAACCCAGTGCACGAATAGCTGTATTGGCAAAAACCAGTGCATTTAGATGTACATGTGCATCTGCCTGGAAGCATGGTCTTCACACACCTAGGTTTGTTTAACCTGTTTTGATCCTTTACCCACTTCACCTATTATCTGTATTTGTTCTGGAACACCTGTTGATGAACTTTCATCATTTGAACAATGCCTCGTGGTATGCTTTTGTCATATTGCTTGTATTTAAGGTAGGCATGTAGCCATTTACTTTAACCCACCCTTGCGACCAGTTGCCTTGTAAATTAGAGGGATTAAAATCAAATCTTTTTCCCCCAAATGTGTCTAGTGGCATTAAAAAAGTGTTTAATTATGTTTAAATCCCATAGAATCTTATTCCTACATGTAATGTCAGTTGTGAGCACCTTACACAAATGCTGCACCTTTTTCGTCTTTACATTAACTTTTCAAATATTTTCTTGTGCAGGCGGAGATAGCGCTGGTGCAGAGCCTTGGTGTGAGCGCTGACCGCATCATCTATGCAAACCCCTGCAAGCAAGCGTCGCATGTGCGCTATGCGGCCGAGCACGGCGTCAACCTCATGACGTTTGACAACGATGCCGAGCTGCACAAGGCGGCCCGCATCAACCCCAATGCCAAGTGAGGATGTGCCCTTGCACACAGCCCAGTTGCTTTAGTGACCATTTTTTATTTAGGTCAGTCTTTGGCTAGTCTGACAACCAGTGAAACTTTAGGAGTCCTTGGTGGATGTCATTTCATCATTCTCTTTGGTGTTTGACTAAAACGGTCACCATTTATTCTACTTTTAAACTCTATTTTATATGTATAAACCATTTTGTTTTGGGGCACAATTTTTGTCTGACATGTATTGGCAGAAGGATAAAATTAATGTGTCCTGTGCAGGATGGTGTTGCGCATCGTGACGGACGACTCGAAGTCCATCTGCCGCTTCAGCATGAAGTTTGGTGCCAGTTTGAAGGCCAGCCGCCACCTCCTGGAAACTGCACGCAATCTGGGTGTGGATGTTGTGGGCGTGAGGTGAATATTCACAAATAAGGTTGTGGTGTCCTCGTCGGCTAGAACTGCTTAAGCCTGGTTTTGATTTTGGGTTTCAACTGTCTATGATAAAACTGCTCGATTTTATACCAAGTTGGTCCCAGATGCGGATCACCAATGCCTTGACAAAAAACGTGGTAACATTTTTCACAATTGTTTCATTTCTATAATGTCAAACATTTGTTAAAAGGTGTTTTTTTTTAAACCAAGCTTATGTCAAGTAGTTTAATGTCTCCCTGGGTCTTTGATAGGATGGTGCACTACTAGCTGCAAAGTCAAAATGGTAGTTTAGCTTGTGATTTGAAATGCAACAATTTCAGTTTGCTCGGACATTTGCTAGTTTGTATACATTTGCTTACATTTTCATAATTCCAACCATGCACAGCTTATCAAGTGTCGAATCCTTGCTGGTTGCTTTAAGTCATGGGCATTGAACTTGATAATGTATAAAAAAACACTTGCGTGATGCATACTGATTTTGTGTGGCTGTTGATGGATTATTTTTCCTGACCTTGGGTCATCACCAAGTTGCAGTAACCCAAGCGGTCAAATTTGCTGTAAAAGATTGCCGTATAACCATCGCCAATTTCCATTTTAACTTTTGTGCTTTTTGGCTCCCATGTAGCTTCCACGTTGGCAGTGGCTGTCAAGACGCACAGACATATGCGCAGTCCATTGCTGATGCCCGTGTGCTCTTCAACATCGCTGTAAGTTTTCCAGATGGTTAACCTTGCGATTTTCTTTGGCTGTGACCCTAATTATTTATTGACTGCGTGGTAATTGTATCATCCCAAGGACGCGTAACGTGCATTCTCAACCTGCAAAACCCCTGTTGCCCAATCTTGATGTAACATACTGCACAGGTTACCAATATCAGTGACTATTGTATGGAAAAATCTAAACTATCAAATTATTTTATAAAAGTAACATTCTGCATCCACTAGCTGGTGCATGTGAAAGCTTCCACTCGGTCACTTTGTATGCGGTTTCATAGTCTAATCCCCTAAATGCCGAATTCCTAAACGGACTGGTTTGCTAACTTGTTTTATTGTCGTCATTGTATGTGCCAAGTGGTGTTCATTTTAAATGTAAGTCTTCAATTAAAAAGATAAGCGCGAGTGTATAGCTTGTAGTAATTGCTGTACTGCTGAAGCAATGTTTAGCTTGTAGGTTGAAGTTTCAAATGGGTCTTGGAACCTATTACATTGGTAGCTTTATCTTACTACAAATGCTAATATGTACACGAATGCTTGTTTGCAGGCTGAAATGGGCTTCAACATGAATCTACTGGACATTGGAGGAGGGTTCCCTGGCTCTGACACAAATGCAAAGTTGACCTTTGATGAGGTTGGTTTGTTTTAACATTGTTTTAATGCGTCTCATATTTGGAAAGTGTTTTTTTTTTTTTCCCACTTTAAGTCGAGGGTAATGTTCACCATTTGGGCATATAGCAATTGTACATTGTCACCTACTATAATCAATGACCATCACAAGTTGTTCAACTCCTTTGTAGATTATTAGCTAATACCCTCTGCATATTAACTTGTTTAACCACTAATTATACAACTCTTGTTCAAACTTGGTGGCAAGCACACTGACTAACTAGCCTACCCGGTCTTCCATCTCCAGTACATAAAGGTATCCTTCCCATCTCAAGCTTTAACTTGTGTGAAAAAATGTATAGTTTCTACTGGCATTGGCAATGGAGATACCACCATAATTCAAGACGAATAATCAAGATTGGGAAATGTTCTCTAAATGTTAAACTAAAACATAACAAAATGCTTTACATTTTATTGCCATTGGCCCATGAGATCTGTTAATGCACTGATGGGCATTTATAACTGGCCTACGACTTGCTTTTGTACATCTTAATTAGTACATAGGCATTGGTTTTAGCAATGTCATTGGCACTGTACTACACCTGTTAGAATCGCTGACAGCTTGACTAAGTGCTACTTGGAATCTTTGTGCGTGGTTATTTCTCCACAGATTGCAGCTGTGGTGAACCCAGCTCTAGACTTGTACTTCCCAAAGGGCTGTGGCGTGAACATCATTGCTGAGCCTGGTCGCTACTACGTGACATCGGCTTTTACTCTGGCTGTCAACATCATTGCCAAGAAGACGTTCTCCAAGGCCTCGGCCAATGGCAAGTCATTGCCGTTTTCATGCCAACTGCTTTGCCTTTTGTCCTCTTACGAGGCTGCTGTATTTATTTGGCTGGCTTGATAATGGCAGATTTTACTGGGTGCAATCCAGCTCTTTAAGAAGGGTTTTATCACTTGATCTCCAAAGCCGTGTGGGCACGGATGGCCAGAAAACTAGATTTGTGACTCCATTGGCAATTTTAAGTTGCCCACTTTTTTCAAATTTCATCCACTTGCAAAAGCTGTTTACAAGTGACTTGGTCAAACATTGCAATGCAGGCTTTTCTGGATCTAAACTTTCAAGAATTTTTTTTGGAAGTATAATGGTTACCTTAACCCTGACCACCTGGCAATCTCTTCCTGCATCTTTTGAGTAATTGGCTGTTCGCAACAGCTGTTGTGCTCATCTCCTTTTTCATGTGACAACTTTATCACTTGTTTTAAAATGGATTGTAATTCATACCTTGTGTTTAACACTTTCCTTTTGATCTTGTACAACAGGAGGTGAAGAGCCGGTGCACATGTACTATGTCAATGATGGCGTGTATGGCTCCTTCAATTGCATCCTGTTTGACCACGTTCAACCAGATCCCATTGTTTACAAGGTAAATGTTGCTCCATTTTCGGTTATGGCCAGTGGCTTTCAACAGCCGCTATGGGGAAGGCAGCTCATTCAAAGCACAAAGCAATAAAGGCAATCGATGTGAGCATTTACGGCGCTAACTGTGGCTTATTTGTGCAGATAAGTGCAGTTGGCTATGTAGGTTAACGTGACTCATGGAGCTGTTCAGGCTGAAACTTGATCTGCATTTAGTGGAAGATTTGGAAAATATTCTAATTTCTGAGTGATGAGAACATCTATGCACAAACTTATTGATTCCTCCCCTCCATATATTCCTCACTTGTCATGATTTGGACGTCTTGCTAATATGCTTCATGTGAATCTAGACTGGTTGGTACAAACCATAAAACCAACCGTTTTTCATGCTCTTGCATGTACACTAAGATGCAGTGAGTACAAGAAAATATTTAACTTGGGTTTTATTGTGCATTATCTGGCATCAGAGGGGAATCTCGTTCTCTTCTTTGGTTCTTTTGGTAAAGTCACAATCTCGTTCTACCAAGCCAAAAATAAAGTCTGAAGATGTATATCGCAAAATAATCCTCATGTGGGCTGCCCTTTTGAATATGGGTTTTTAGTCTTCTGCCTCTGATTTACACGGACATGAACGGTACCATGTGAATACCCCACAGTACAAAAGATTGTAACCCACACTACCTGCATAATTGCAGGCGCGCACCTTTTGACTCGTGCTTTGCGTGATTGTCATACCATCTGAGGGTCAAACTTATCGAGTTGTGACAAGTTGTTAACCATGCTTTGGTCAGATTTGTGGTGGATCAAACTGACCTGTGGATTGTAATGAGGGCGAAACAGTGGAGGACATGACGGTTTCCTGACCTTTTCAATTTGGATCATTGTGTTTTCGGCATCAATACAAGCGTCTGGCTTTGTAATTTGTGCTGGTTCGATGGGTAAAATTATATACCTCCCTTTGATAACGGCAAACATTTAGCATTTGAGGTTGTGCATGGTGAAATACACTTCTTTTTGTGGCGTGTGCAGCATGTTGAGCCAGAGGAGCCAGTGTTCGAGTCGTCACTGTGGGGCCCCACTTGCGATGGGCTGGACCGCGTGGTGGAGCGCATGCAGCTGCCAGAGTTGCACGTGGGCGACTGGCTGCTGTTCCGCAACATGGGCGCGTACACCATGGCGGCTGCATCCAATTTCAATGGATTCCCCAAGCCTCCGTTGCATTATGTAATCCGCAATGCAGACTGGTAAGTTGAGGAATCTACAATGCCACCTGCACCATGAGCACAATGTACATATAAATGGCCAGCACCACCACACAAGCCACAAGCAGCTCTTCTAAATGCTACGATAGCCGCCATCGACACTAATGATGCATCTACAGCTAGAGGCAGATTGCTCACTCAAACATTCTACAGTAATAAAACTTGGTGTACTATATGTAATTCTTAAACAGTTGCGTTGGTGCATGTGTCATTGCCATATCAATAAATCAATACACAACTAATTTAAAAGGAAGGTGCAATCCCAACTTGGGGTAATAATTGTAGATGTGTCTATGCTACCCTGTGCTTGATTTGACCTGAACGTTAATTTAATGTCATTGACATTGCAGTGAACGTGGGAGTTGCTTCTAGTACCATAGATTAACTTGCCCATTTAAGCTTAACTAGTTATACAGCTTAACAGTGCCTAGATACATTAACAAATAATTGTCACTTAGACCACCTTCCCCCTCCCCACGCAAGTTACTAAACCTATGTTATTGCTGTAAAAAAACTGTATTGGTCATGCATCGCAACCCTCAAGTCATTTCATGTTCCTTCTGCCTCCCGTTTGCAGGATTGCAATCCACGAGCTGCACAGGTCTCTCTCCGAGATGCGTACCTGTGGTGGCGAGGACGAGGTGGCCGTGCCGCTGTCTTGCGGTCTTGAGAGCTGCGAGCCAGGCTTCACGCCACCCTCTGCCGCTTCTGGCGTCAATGTCTAAACCCTGACTGCGCTGGGGTGTTTGGGGGGGGTATCGGATGAGGCCAGCCTAGTTTGGGGGAGGGGGGACTGCTAGGTGCTAGGCTTGATGGTGAAATGAAGCTTCTTTTTAGCCTGACAAATGTGCCACTTATTACTCCCCACCTTGATTTACTACGATTCACCTAGCCCATTCCCTTGTTTTCTAGATTGACACTTGCACATTTGGTTGGAGGGCAAAGTGGGTGAGCAAAGCATTACATTCTTAGTTAACGTTCCTTGTGGAATGCTGGTTATATTTTGGTGCTTTAACAAATGGTGCACACTTCTCAATGCCACTGCCCCCACTGTGCACATCAGCTGAGGGGAGGTAATGGTGGAGGATAATTGCAGAAATAGCTATCGTTGATTTGACAAGTTGCTGGGATGTTGCCTTATTGCTGCCAATTGGCCTCGAAGGCATTTTCATCTTAACTTGACAACCAACCTCCGTGTAAATGCAGCGTTTGGCTTCTCCAGAGTACCTTGTCTCCCAGCTTTGCACATTCTGTAGTTTTACAATTATGCACGCTTCCATTTCACAGGGCTGTAAAACGGCAAACGAAAAGCAACAAAAGGAAGGCCATTTGGGGGAGTGGGCTAAAAGTTTGGAGACGGCACATGAGCCAACCAAATGCTACCTCTAATATGAACAAACTTGCTAACCCACTCGCTGATCCCCAACCCTATCTTGGTCTCTTGCAGCAGCACTCTTCACCATTTTAGCGTTTAAGCTTTTTTGACCAGTGCTGTGCATTTCGTCAGCGAAATGGGCTTGAGTGGTGTGCATTACATAGGCTGGGTATCTAAATCTATCTGACACAAATTTTGTAATTGGTTTTCAATCGCATTCACATTAAACTACAACCTGCCACCATTCTTCCCTAATTGACGCATTACAAGTGTGTAATTGTGGAACGCTACGCTCCTTTCATGTAACGAACACTTTATTTTTGAGCTTGCTTTACATGTTATGAGTTGGCAAATGATGTCAACTTGAACCTATGTGCTGCGTAATTTAATGACCTATGACTGATTTAAGAGCGGTTATGAAATACGTGGCAAAGTACTGGCAAAACCCATTGGGTCGACACGACTTAATTTTGATGGTGCCCCCCCATTATGTATGGGTTGGCTGGCGACTAAACATTATCTTGAAGGGGACCAGGCTTAACATTGTGCACTCGCCATGCCCTTAAAGCCCAGTGGTGTTTGCTTTGAATGCAATACTTATGACAAGTTTAGGGAAAGTCATTTGTTTACACAAAGTTTTTACTCCTTGACAGTACTAACTGTAGTGTGACTGTAATAAACATTTTAAACTTATCTTGCATTTACATAGTGTTTTGAATATCTACATCAACCCATGGAGCTGATTTACATGGCTGGATTGGTGTTAAATCCAAGCTTGAGATTGCTGAACTGGTTTTAAGAATTGAAGGTTTAGGTATCGACGGCTTAATGCATCTCATCCATTAAATGTATCAAAGGAGACTAGGAAGCCCAGTGCAGGTTAAATCAGACCTTACTGTTACTACCCAACAATTGGCACATTAAGTTTAACGTTCTTAGATTTTATAAATATCCAGGTGCTCGGCACTGCTACCTTCACGTGTCACTGGAAATTACTGACGTGTAACTTTAGCTTCCGATTAAACGTAACCACTATCGTTACCTTTTGTCGTGTGCTCAAGGTCGACAATTGCGCAACTTCCCCCTAGCGGTTAACATGGTCCTATACACGTCTTGACATTACGGAATGGTTTTGGAGCACGCGATTATTCTGATCATGCGTTTCGTGTACTGTACAGGGTTGGTTCGCCAATTAAGGATTTTTTGCCGATTTGTTTCGAATGCAGTTTTACGTGAACACTTGCACCCGTACACCAGTACCACGTTGCAATTATCACAGTCCTAAGCCACCAATCTTGATGGTTGTATCTTTCGATGTTGACTAACGTCCACGAGTGTACTTGGGTTCTTTCGGTAAAGTCGCGTAGATGGGGTAAATAGATCACGAGTGTGAAGTTGAGCCGTATTCGCCGTCACCACCGCGACCAACATTGTCACCAACGGACTCTTTATAATTCCCACTCATCGCTACCATCACCGTCATTAAACCGCAGCGTTCGATACTGCACGTCGTCATCCGTCACAAATCGGTGTAATCGCCCCCATCCACCAACATCAACTGCAAATCACAAGCGATGACACGAGGCTTAATCCAATCGTCCCGTCGACCACCGCCACACGGTTGAGCCCCCCCCCCCCCCCCCCACGGTGACAATAGCCCCGTCTCCTTCCCTGCAGGGGAGAGTCCATTGGTCCCAAACCCACAGCGCGTATTTCCGCTCATCGCGCCTGTGATTGGAGCTGGTTTCGGGGTGTGTGTCGATGGTGACGGGCTGGGGGGTGGGTGGTGTTAGTCGGGATGGGAGAGGTTATGTGAGACGCACACACAGAAGGAAGCTCGCTCGCTCGGCGGGGATGCAATGCGCTCCGGAAAGAGACGGTAAGCACCGCGGTGCGGTTAGACACCAACGTGCTGCGCTACATCGCATTGCAGTGCTACACATGTGCGGGCGTGGGGGGCGGTGGTGGTTTGCTATTTTTGTTGTACGCGCGAGTGATGTCGCCCAAGTGGCTGCGATTCCCCCCCCCGAGCCGTGCCCGGGTTCGATCCACCTGTCCCACGATGCACATCGGACAATACGCTTACGGCTGCGTTCATCGTCGTCATGCGTCGGACGCAATCGCCACGGTCGCCGGTAGCGAGCCAAGCGGCCTTGGTTGACCAAGGGCCCCACCCTACCACCACTACCCCTTTAAAGGTTGACTCGGCATGCATTCGTTCCGGCAGCGGTGGCCAACGATCATTCGGAACCGAAGAGGACAAAGGCGAGAGCGGTGCTGGGGGGGGGTGGTCACGACCTTCCCGGCTACACGTGCGCCTTCTCGCCCTTTACGCCCGTGGCTGCTATTTGAATGCCCAGGCTAACGGAGGAGGATCTTTGTCCTTGTAATGCGGTGTTTTTTTTTTGCTGCTGTACTTGACAATATCATCGCAGCAGAAAATAATGTACAAGCGTTGTGTCGTCGGTTCGTTGCCGGATGAAGGCCTTTCCACTTCGGGAGTCGGTCATTCGGGGGGTTTGTTTGACCATACTTCATCACGTTGATCAGTAGAAGTGGTGGTCACCAAGAACCGGCTCAGATGGCACTCGCCACCGATGTCAGCCGGATTTTTTTTGTTGTTGCTTCTACTTTCTGTACTGCCATCTGCTGGCCACCTCGCAGCCCAGCGGGTTGGGGAGTTCCCCAAACATCCTTGTGTGATCCACCAACCCACGCCTCCAATTTGCCGGTCAAAGGCGTGCCCCACCACACCATTGCCTTTCGACTAAAACCGAATAATTGCCTGTACCGACACTCGTGCATGCCCTTCCGATGCGTGTGCCTGTGTGGTGATTGTCGGATTCTTATGCATCCCGTGTCACCATCACATGAACAACATTCGCCTGTGTGTCTCTGCGGAACGTTGGTGCAAAGTGGTCACGCTCTGCGTGTTCCACGTGGTATTCCAAAGGTGGCCGAACTTGTTCCGGCCCTCTCCTAGGTCGACCCAGCCTCAAACGCATACCTGATACATTGAATCAACATCAACAATGGGCACATAAAGTGCTCCCCACGTGGCGCTTTCACGTGCCTTTCCAGCCTTAATAAGTCTTTGCAAACATCACTTTCCCCCGATGGTCTTTCACACTAAACGAGGGACCTTTCTTCGTCTTTATCTTTGGGCATGAATTGTGTACAAGCTCATAGCCCTGTGTGGCTGTTTAATTCAACAAAATATTATTCATGAACGACTGGGTTCTCGTAGGATATGACTTGTCTTGGCCTGACGTGGGCTTCTCACTCGTGATGTGGGCCCTACGGTGGCGAGATATTAACTATCTCACCTGGTATGCAGGAGGTCGGGGGTTCGATTCCGACCCTGACGCTTGTATATTTGGAGTTTGCATGTTCTCTCTCTCCATATAGTTGCGTGGATTTTTCCCCGAGTTCTCCGGTTTTTCCCCTCCACATTTAGAAACATGCGCTTGGAGTATTTGGCTGCTCTAAATTTCCACATGGTAAGCCACTAAGTTGAGCTATCATTTGTGGCCCGGTCGCTTCTGAAAAATTGCTTTTTAACTCAGTGGGCCTTATCTGGGAAAATAAAAAAGTTTACTTTATGTACTGTGACATGTCACTGATCCGTCTGCCCCTCCAGCCTTACGTGTGGTTACCTACCTCTTATTTATCGTGTGACAAGTCAGCAATGGTTTTCCCACAAAGAAACTCGGCTGCCACCGCCGGATTGTGGAATTTCACACTTGAGCAAGGAGATCATCTTATTTTTGTTCTTATTTGCCTTCATGATCATCGTCAGCCATGATCTTCTGGCTGAAGGCTTCCCCAAGCCGTCGATTAGCACGGCTGGCTATGTACGGTGCGATAGAAGTTCAGCATACATCACCCTTCGTAATGCTGCAGCGTTATAATCCACCAAGCACCTGCGCACCAGCTGATTTTCATTGGTCTTAACTTTTACAAACAGCTGTCTGGGTGTGTCTCTCCATCCACCAATCGATCTGCCGGTCTGTCTTTATATCTACCCTTGCCTGTCTCTCCACCTGTATGCCTGCCTCTGTCTTGTATGTACCTTCTGTCTGATGGTTTGTTGGTCTGTTTGTCCCTTCATCTGTCTCTCTATCTCCATAGCCCTTTATATGTCTGCCAATCTGCCTGTCTGTCTGTATCTCTCTCCCTTCGTCCACCCTTCTATCCTTTGTAGTCACAGAGTAATAACCTTCCCACAATTTCACTAAAACTGCCCCAGCGGCTCAGTTACTTGGGGCACCAAGGTAGTGACAGTCAACAGCAGTACAGCCTCGGCCCTCGATTTTTTTAGGTGCCTCCGTGTATTATAAGTACCAGTAAATACAATACTTGCGACACTGTGATACATCCTATGTAAGTAAATTGTTAATGAATGCCATTGCATCGTCACAGATGTGTGATGAAATATGTGAACTTTGTTTTTCTTTCATGTCGCTTGGAATCGGGCATGGGTGTGCGGGTGAAACAGAAAAGGGAAGGAATTGAATTTACACCCCCCCCCCCCGCCTAAAACAATAGCAGCACCGGGCCCCCATCAAACTCAATTTGGCCCTGAGTACGGCAAGTAGGTTGTGAATGTTCTGACCACCGATTCAACCCGCCCTCTACGTCCAGAAAGCATCCACATTGTCACTATTCACGAGCCGGCCCGTATTCACATATCTGTGTGGAGTAGCTTCATTTTCATGTTTCAACACAGCGGACGGGCGGGTGGCAAGAATAAAGCAGTCTCCAATTCACACCCCGTCCAAGTGCATTCAATTAGGCAATTGAGAGTATATTTGACGGTGGCGTCTGTATGAATACTGGTTGGCAGGGGTAGTTTGTTGTCCTTCCCCCACACCTCCGTTTAGCACGGTTGGCTACGTACAGTGTGAAAGAAGTTCAACACGCATACATGTGCAGCGATGCATCTATTCGGTGATTGATATCGATTCCTAAGCTTACGATGCACACATCGAATCGCACGCCTTACAGGCGTCAAATCGCTTGCTTCAGAGATTAACGCACGGAGGGATGACATCACCCAGGAGGGGGAGACCACCGAGGAGATGGAGCTATGAGATCAGCTCCATGAGCAGGAGGAAGATGGATTGTGGCATCATCACGGAACCGTGAGAGACGGCGGCAACTTGAAAGAGATCTTCATCCAGCAGTGGATAGATGACAGAAGGGAGGAAGCAATAGGCAGGGTATGGTGGCATCAGTGGCATTGTCTGTGATGACATCTTTTTGAGCAATGCATTAAGGCTATGGGTACTTTGGGATTCGCAATTGTGAGTTTGGAATATCGTTACGTGTGGGTGTAATGATAATAGAGATTTTGTCAATGGACCTTGATTCTTAGGTCCGTAGTACATGCATCAAATTGTGTAAGAATCGATTATTTGTTATTTTTTTCATGAAAATATTAACAAATAGGAATCAAAAACTCCGAAGAGACAAATAATGAGAAACAATGCGAATGAGAAACAATTAAATAGTGATGAAAAAAAATCGATGCTTGAACCAAATCAGAGCCCTTAATTCCAAAAATATATCAATTGGCAGGGTTCGGGTTTTGATTTAAAGCTTTCGTGACTGCAGTGATTCATATTCTTGGTTCTTTCGGTAAAGTCACGTTGAAGCGAAACAATAATATGTATAAATTCATTATTTTATTATATATTTATTATTTTAGTGTTTCCCTTCAACGTGACTTTACCGAAAGAACCAAGAAGGGAAACAATAAAAAAATGTATTATTGTTTTATTATATATTTATTACTATTTTATTGTTTCCCGTCAACGTGACTTTACCGAAAGAACCAAGAATATATATAGAGTTCGGGTTGTCAATAATTAAATTTTGATTGGCAGTATTGCCCGATTAAGTCGTTGGATAGTGAACGAATTTCACCTTCGGCCAAAAAACATGGAGCCTAACCCTAACCTCTGGTCACGAGTTAGGCCTGTGTAACATTTGCCAAAAATGGTGCCATTTATTTGAATAAAAGACAGCAAATCAGTGCAATGAGGGAGCCTCCGTTCAGTTCGTGGAGTCCAGTGCACGAAGGAACTTGCACACGGAAAGGGGGAAAAGCACAGATAAATAAACACCCGTGGTAGGCACAGGCCTGGGTGCAATGGGACTGCTATACAGTCTAACATTAGCATTTATTAAACATATATCTTTTTATCGAATGATTTCATTGCCAATCATGCCCAAATATTAAACAGATCTTGGCATCGGTGTTCATGAGCTGTGTAGTAAGTTTCATAGAGATTGATTACTCGGTTTTTTGGTTTTGTCGTCACCGAGCGGATTTCATATTTTCCAGACTGAGCAATGAATAGCCCTCAGCTCCCTTAATCACGGCGCTGTTTGTCCATGAATACCATCATCATGATGGTGGTGGTAACAGTTAATTTGTTAATTGTTGAAACGAGGTGATATTACGGAGACATGCGGCTGTAAATGACGCTGAGCTGCTAATTGCAGTAATTAGCAAGTAATGTGACGGGCTGGTGTTGTGTTTTTTTAATGATCTTTGCGTCACCGTGTCGCTTTCACAGGCATTGACACTTCCTCGCAGTGGAGGTGAAGTCACGAGCTCGCCCGGTGACGGGGTGTGGCAAGCGAAGCAATGACTCCAGCACGTCAAGCGAGCGGTGACGCGGAACTTCAACAGTGATGCTGCCGAGATCGACAACTTCCCCCCTAAACCTAAAACATTCTCGCTCTGAACCTGGCCTAAATCTTCATCCTGAAACACTCTCCCCATAAACCCGGCCTAAACTCTGACCCGATCACAATCTGCAAAAACCTTACCCCAATCCTAACCGTAACTATAACCCTTTTCTCCAATCCGACTGACATGAATCACTATTATTCAGAGGACTAGCAGTCGAAAAATAATGTACTTTTTCAATATATTTTTTGCGTGATTTATCGTGCAATTAACGCAGTGATGTAACGTTTACAACGGGTGTGTTTTCTTACGCACCTTTGGTACCCCCCCACCCTTCCAGGGGTATGCTCGGGAATCTGAGACATTACGTAGGTGATACGTTAGACTTAGAGATTCATTAAGGCCCCTGGGGGTTTTTAGCTGAGCACAAGTTTTATACTTGGAGGATTTGTAAACCTCGGCACACAATTATATTTTTTAATAAATCTATTTATACGCAGCATTAGCCGAGTGACAAGTTTAGAGGCTTATTCTTGCACCGTGTCGTTAAAACATGCGTGACGTTATAACATTTAAGCATGAAATACATTTGTTGCATTTCAATAATTAATGCTTTAAAATAAATAGTCGATCCAATCCTAGCAACAATTGTGTAAAAGTATCAAAATAATACCTTTTTTAAAAAGAAAATTTTAATTATTAAATTCGCTGACGGGAACAGAAAATTACAAGCTTTGGGTCAAACGCCCTTCTGCAGGAAAATACACAGGCACTATATACGGACACACACACACCGACAGACCTGGACACATACAATATGTACATCTCACTTCAATTTTAACACTTACAATGCAGCTGTGCACCCTCTGGATATGCCACACAATGTGAGGGCATCTGAGTGTTGGTTTTTAAACCATAGCACAATACTTTTTTGGGGGGAAAAAATAAACATTTAAACTTAATGCCTTACACATTTGCGTGCCCAACGATCAGTGGGACTTGCACACACACACACACGCATGAGCTTCGCAACTTGACTCAGGTTATAAATTTTGTGTCGATAATAAATCGGTCACCCCTGCCTTTTCCTGACCGGGCAGCACCTTCTCACCACTCTCAAAACCCATAGCCCTCCATTTCTTGTGCCCCGCCTGGAAACGCCACCGCGATTGAATGCCACGCACGCGTACACATTAACGCGTGTGCACGCACGCGCACATGACCACAACATCGCGCCACTATCGTCGAGGCTAAAACTGAATCGACTCAACCATGAGCGAAGGCAGCGACGTCCACCGCGTGCGGAGAGTGCGACCATCGGCCCTGCTGGAGGTGTTGGCGATGGTGTCGGTGATGGTGGCGCCGGGCACAGATGCACACAGCCTGTTCACCTGTGAGCCGGTGACCCTCCGCATGTGCCAGGATCTGCCGTACAACACCACCTTCATGCCCAACATGCTTGGACACTACGACCAGATCGCGGCGGCCAAGGCCATGGAGGTGAGCCTGCCGTTCTTCTTCACGATTGTCATCATCGTCGTCATCGTCATAAGCCATGGGATCTTCACTGTTGCATGAAGGCCTGAAATGCCGTTGCCATCCCATGCCGTCCCATGATGCCCGCGGTACGTCTCTCGGCCGACGTCACTGGCGAGTGAAATCTGAACCTGGCCTGTGACTCCCCTAAGGGTTGACTCAGCCTTGAGTGAGTGCCTGGTCTGGTGGGTGTCTGAATGGCAGCACTGGGGAGACAAAGGCGATTGAGTGGTGTGTTGGCTAGAACACCCCTTCGTTGCGCCGTGCTGGTGTCAATCTGTGCTCGCTAACAGCACTTGTTATATGGGTGAGCTTTGTCTCTGTTTCAATGTATATTGAAATTTGAGTACGTGTGTGTTTGGTTATGCACGTGGAAAGCGGTGGAAAGCGTGGGTGCAGCGGTTAGCGCACTGTGCAACCAACCCGGCGACCATAGTTCGATTCCCGCTCACGGCCAAAACACCAGTGAGAATCATCTGAACCGGTCCTGGGCCTCGCCTAAGTCGACTCAGTCTCATACGAGTTCCTGGTGTGGTGTGTAAACATCGTAACTAGGGAGACAAAGGCGGTCGGGCATGCTGCTGGTAACTCACCCCCTAGTGTGTCGTTCTGGACTTCGCTAACAGCACTTTCCCCAACTGTGTCAAAGGCTACACGGGGGATCTTTGTCTTTGTGTGTTTGTGGTCAGTGGGTTCCAACAAATCATCCATTATCATGCTGCTACCCCCATCAGCCATCTGCTGCCAAACATCAAGAGGCCCCCCTATCGAGCCACACCCTCCCATTACCCACCCCAACACTGCCGCATCCCACCCCCCGTTTGCCACAGGCCATGCCAGGCACTGCCAGGCCCTGTATCGGGAAACACAAACCTGACGCGGGTTTCATTCTATCATCGTCATCGTAAGCCATGGTCAATCCACTGCTGAATGAAAGCCTACCCAAGTTACCGCCACTTCTCATTCTATAACCTGTCGGTAAAGTGATGGGTGGTTGCATGGACGTGCGTGTGTGTGTGTGGTGTGTGTGTGGTGTGCATTGGCGTGCTTGGGTTTTAAACGATACAAACGAGGTTGTGTGGATTGGGAGTTGTGGTTGTATGTAGGTTAGGTTTGTGGTGTGTGTGTTATGGGTGTGGGGTGTGTGATTGTGTATGGGGGTGTGGGTTAGGGTGGTGGTGTGTGTGATTGTGTATGAGGGTGTGGGTTAGGGTTGTGGGTATGTGAAATTATATCGGGTGAGGGTTAGGGTTGTGGTGTGACTATGGGGTGTGGGTTAGGGTGGTGGTCTGTGTGATTGTGTATGGGTGTGGGTTAGGGTTGTGTGATTGTGTATGGGGTGTGGGTTAGGGTTGTGGTCTGTGTGATTGTGTATGGGGTGTGCGTTAGGGTTGTGGGGTGTGTGATTGTGTATGGGGTGTGGGTTAGGGTTGTGGTCTGTGTGATTGTGTATGGGGTGTGGGTTAGGGTTGTGGTGTGTGCGATTGTATGGGGGTGTGGGTTAGGGTGGTGGTGTGTGTGATTGTATGGGGGTGTGGGTTAGGATGGTGGTGTGTGTGATTGTGTATGGGGGTGTGGGTTAGGGTGGTGGTGTGTGTGATTGTGTATGGCGTGTGGGTTAGGGTGGTGGTGTGTGTGATTGTGTATGGGGGTGTGGGTTAGGGTTGTGGGGTGTGTGATTGTGTATGGGTGTAGGTTAGAGTTGTGGTGTGTGTGATTGTGTATGGGGTGTGGGTTAGGGTTGTGGTGTGTGCGATTGTATGGGGGTGTGGGTTAGGATGGTGGTGTGTGTGATTGTATGGGGGTGTGGGTTAGGGTTGTGGTGTGTGTGATTGTGTATGGGTGTGGGTTAGGGTTGTGGTGTGTGTGATTGTGTATGGGGGTGTGGGTTAGGGTTGTGGGGTGTGTGATTGTGTATGGGTGTAGGTTAGGGTTGTGGTGTGTGTGATTGTGTATGGGGGTGTGGGTTAGGGTTGTGGTGTGTGTGATTGTGTATGGGGTGAGGGTTAGGGTTGTGGTGTGAGTTAGGGTTGTGGTGTGTGTGATTGTGTGTGGGGTGTGGGTTAGAGTTGTGGTGTGTGTGATTGTGTATGGGGTGTGAGTTAGGGTTGTGGTGTGAGTTAGGGTTGTGGTGTGTGTGATTGTGTGTGGGGTGTGGGTTAGGGTTGTGTGATTGTGTATGGTTGTGGGTTAGGGTTGTGGTGTGTATGATTGTGTATGGGGGTGAGGGTTAGGGTTGTGGTCTGTGTGATTGTGTATGGGGTGAGGGTTAGGGTTGTGGTCTGTGTGATTGTGTAAGGGGGTGTGGGTTAGGGTGGTGGTGTGTGTGATTGTGTATGGGGTGAGGGTTTGGGTTGTGGTGTGTGTGATTGTGTATGGGGGTGTGGGTTAGGGTGGTGGTGTGTGTGATTGTGTATGGTGTGTGGGTTAGGGTTGTGGTCTGTGTGATTGTGTATGGGGGTGTGGGTTAGGGTTGTGGTGTGTGTGATTGTGTATGGGGTGAGGGTTGTGGTCTGTGTGATTGTGTATGGGGTGTGAGTTAGGGTTGTGGTGTGAGTTAGGGTTGTGGTGTGTGTGATTGTGTGTGGGGGGTGGGTTAGGGTTGTGTGATTGTGTATGGTTGTGGGTTAGGGTTGTGGGGTGTCGGATTGTGTATGGGGGTGTGGGTTAGGGTTGTGGTATGTGTAATTATATTGGGTGTGGGTTAGGGTTGTGGTGTGTGTGATTGTATATGGCGTGTGGGTGAGGGTTGTGGTGTGTGTGATTGTGTATGGGTGTGGGTTAGGGTGGTGGTGTGTGTGATTGTGTATGGGGGTGTGGGTTAGGGTTGTGGTGTGTGTGATTGTGTATGGGGTGAGGGTTAGGGTTGTGGTGTGTGTGATTGTGTATGGGTGTGGGTTAGGGTTGTGGTGTGTGTGATTGTGTATGGGGGTGTGGGTTAGGGTTGTGGTGTGTGTGATTGTGTATGGGGTGTCGGTTAGGGTTGTATGATTGTGTATGGTTGTGGGTTAGGGTTGTGGTGTGTGTGATTGTGTGTGGGGTGTGGATTAGGGTTGTGGTGTGTGTGATTGTGTATGGGGGTGTGGGTTAGGGTTGTGGTGTGTGTGATTGTGTATGGGGGGGTGGGTTAGGGTTGTGGTGTGTGTGATTGTGTATGGGGTGTGGATTAGGGTTGTGGTGTGTGTGATTGTGTGTGGGGCGTGGGTTAGGGTTGTGGTCTGTGTGATTGTGTATGGGGGTGTGGGTTAGGGTTGTGGTGTGTGTGATTGTGTATGGGGGTGTGGGTTAGGGTTGTGGTCTGTGTGATTCTTTATTAAATGTTTCATTCACTCATCACCGTTGCCCCGGTAACGTGCACTGTTGTTATTTGAACAGAGAGCATGGCCCCTTGGGTTAGAGAGTCACGGGGAGGGAGGCCAGGGGGAGAGCTGAGAGTGAGACAGGAGACACAGACGGCGAAACGGAGACAAAGCTCCGGGTCACTGAGATCAGAATTCGGTGCTCACTCACGACCACAATAGCACTCACCACCCAAACACACAAAGACAAAGATCACACCGTGTAGCCTTAAAATACTGTTGGGGCAAGTGCTGTTAGCTAACACCTAATGAAGGCCGGCAAGGCACACGAGGGGTTGCGTCGGACAGCACCACGCCCGACCGCCTTTGTCTCCCTCGTGGCGATATTTACACACCGCAACAGGTACTCATTTGATGCTGAGTCGACCTAGGGGAGACCCAGGAACAGTTCAGATAATCGTCACTGGTGGTGCCCGAGAACGGGAATCGAACTCGGTTTGATGGCTCATCGCACTAACCACTGGGCCACCGCTCCCAGGCTCAAAATGCAGTTCACTCTAACAATAGCACTCACCACCAGACACACACACACTAACACACTGGCGAAGACACCGACACAGTCACACACGAAAAGACATATATCCCTGTATATACATTAACAGACTGGGGTATGTCCTGCTGATGAGCACTTGTTAAAGCTGGCACACCACGTGACGGTCTGCTCCGGCCAGATGTTTACAAACCACACCAGGCATTCGTTTAATGCCCGTGACCAGCTCCGATGATACCACTTGCCACTGATGTGAGCCATTGTCAAGAATGGAACCCAGGTTGCCGGGATTGTAACGTGCCACCGCCCCCAATGCTCTATACACACGCACACACAACACACAATTTGAGGCCAATTGAAGTGTCGAGGGCTCGCTGGCTGGAGGTTACAGGACAGACCCAGGAGCTATGGGTTTTAATGGATTGAGTTGACAGGCGCATCGTATATGCTCCCCACTGTGCCATCTCGCTGTGTTTTATGCGCCCGGCGCGCCGCTCATTGTTGTGAGTGTCGTTCATGGCTCAAGCTTGAGGAGGGAATATAATCCGTCTCGGGTTTTCCAGTCGCCGGCGACGTGGGCCTGTGGACTAAGTTTAGTCGTTGTGTGTGGCGGCGATGATGATAATGATGATGCACCAGTGCTGGCCTCCACCAGACCAGTTCTCCTGGGAAGCCGCATGGGCTACACATGCCCGTCTGGCGGAGAAGCCACTGCCAGAGCATTCCAATTTCCCAATGAATCCACCTTGTACGGGTTCTCACCTGTGACTGCAAAATCCAATCTGGCCACAAACGGCCACGGTGGCTCCTCCACCCCCCAGTTGCGTTCTTTTCGATCGCCCTCTGCAAGAACCGAACCTGACACCGCTGGTATGAGTAGTCGGCAAGCCGACGCAGCTCCAATTCCTTTTCAACATCGGTCCAGCTCTTCTCTAGGCCGTATCACGCCCCCTCCGTCTGGCCATTCAGAAGCTACTGTACTTGGCCATGCAGTGGCTGAGCTTGCAGGCTACATGACCCAGCCAATGCATCCCCTGCATGCCACAGCAGACGCTCACTGATGGGACCATGGAAATTCCTCAGATAGAGCATTAGAATGCTTCCTCGCACACACACACTGTGGTGCACAGATACACAAAGATAGCCTTAACAGACTGTAGGAGCAAGTGCTGTTTTCGAGAGTATATGAAAGCCAGCACGGCACACGAGGCGGTGGGTGGCCAACACCACACCCGGCTGCCTTTGTCTCCCCAAGTGCTGATGTTTCATACACCACTAGGTTACTCATTTGAGGCTGAGTCGACTTAGGCGAGGCCCTGGACCGGTTCAGATAATCGTCACCGGTGTTGGCCATGAGCCGGAATCGAACTCGATTCGCCGGGTTCTTAGCGCAGTGTAGCGCTAACCGCTACGCAGAAATACACAGACACAAAATACACACGCAGATCAACTCCGCACGGATGTAAGGGCTAGGGTTGCCGCATGTTTCTGGTTTTCCCAGAACGTCCTCTTAGTCGCTTGTCTGTCATGGGAAATCGGTCAGTCATCCCGGGACATTCGGAGTGTGCCGGTTTGTGTCTGTCATGTAACAATAACGCTAACATTATTGCACTATTCATAATAAACTCGGCCAGTAAGGTAAACAAACCTTACTGGCTGTGTCGGGTGGTGGAGGGTTACGACACATTTACACTTACTCGATTACAAAAGCCTGCAACGTGTTAAACTAATTATTGTGGTTCTCGCTTGCTTCTGATATTGCGAGAGATCTTCTTCACACGCAATCCCAGTCGCCGTGGAACGTCGTCCCAACGTTGACCCGACGTCGGATCAACGTCGGGGCGAATTGTTCCAAAAACCGGGGACGTCCCAGTACATGTGCCAACTTTGGGTCGACGTGGCACAACCCCTGCGAAGAAATGAAGGGAGAAGACAGAGAGAGAGAGATGGGTGGATGAGTCGCATACCCCCCCCCCCCCCCCTCGTGAACACAGGGGTGTGGGCTGAGGGTGGGTAACGTGGATGGAGAGGGTGCACAGTGGTGAACACCCCAATGGGAGGATAAGGCGAGTGAAGGGGGTGGGTGGGGTGGCTGGCTGGCTGTATGGGGGTCGGGAGGTGGGCAGGGAGCAGGAGGCAAAAGGGTTTTGAAGCAGCTGTGGTGAGCGAGGCCATGTGTGGTGTGCGGTCGTGGCGATTATTAATGAGTGGGGGTGACAAGAGTCGTGTGTGTACGAGTAATCTGAGAAGTGATGGTGCAGCGGTTAGCGCACTGCACTTCCCTCTCACGGCCATCACCAGTGACGATTATCTAAATCGGTCCTGGGCCTCCCCTAGGTTGACTCAGCCTCAAGTGAGGATATATCACTACCCGCCCCTTCGTGCACCATGCTTGCCTTAATAGGGGGTCTCAAACAGCACATACTCCATAAATACGGTATGGGTGCGATATGTCTTATCTTGTGTGATGGTGGTGACTGCCATCTTCTTGATGTTGGTGGTTTTAACAATGAAGGTCCTCTCTTTGATTTGAAGCTTTCGTGACTGCAGGGATTCATATTCTTGGTTCTTTCGGTAAAGTCACCACGTAGAAGGGAAACAATAAAAATATAAAACAATAAAATTCTCACGACGTTTCAACTGCAACACAAGCAATCATCATCAGGTGTGAAAACCACAAGAAAATTTGAAAAAAGTGGCCCAATTTTCTTGTTGTGGTTTTCACACCTGATGATGATTGGTTGTGTTGCAGTCGAAACGTCGTGAGAATTTTATTGTTTTATATTTTTATTATTTTATTGTTTCCCTTCTACGTGACTTTACCGAAAGAACCAAGAATATAAAGTCCTCTCTGATCAATCTGGACCTCTATCCCCTCTCTCCTCTCCCCTCCACTCTCTTTCCCCTATCACCTCCCTCTAATATCTCTCCCCTCTACCCTCTCTCTCCCCTCGACCTCTCCTTCTCTCTCCCCTCTCTCCTTATCCCCTCTTCCTCCCATCTCGCCCACCCCCTGCCAGCCGTTCCACCCGCTCGTGAACCTCGAGTGCTCGCCGGAGCTGCGCCCGTTGCTGTGCGCCGCCTTCGCACCGCCGTGCGGGGGCGGCTCGGAGGGGGCGTCCCCCTGCCGACCGCTGTGCCGCCGCGTTCTTGCTCTCTGCTCGCGTCTCGCCGACGTCTTCGGCGTCGCGTGGCCCGACGAGATGGACTGCGAGCGGTGAGCTCCTCGGCGTTTCGATCCCCACACTTCTCCCCGCCCCCACCTTCCCCCACCTTCCCCCACCTTCCCCCCCCTGCGATACGCTAGCCTCTAAAAACAGGCATCTGAATCTGGCACGGGGCCGAGCAGGGCCAGGGGCGGGGCTAACCGCGTGACGTCAGTCGACACGGCCTGGCGTCACACGAGCCGCTCCAGGCTGGCCCGGCACGAGCCCACCAACACCACCACCGCCGCCACAACCGCCGCTAACCTTCCTCTCCTGCGACCGCAGCTTCCCCGACTGCGACGGCGTCTTCCGCGACCCTTCCCACGGCGGCTCTGACGGCGACCGCCGGGGCTCGGGGCCCGGCGACCCTCGCCACGCGGCAGCCGGCGGCGGCGGCGGCGGCGGCGGCGCTCAGCCACGGGACTTCGGCTTCTGGTGCCCGCGGCAGCTGAGGGCGACGCGGGGCCTGGGCTACCGCTTCGCGGGCGTGCGGGACTGCGCTCCGCCGTGCCACCCGCACATGTTCTTCGGGCGCGACGAGCTGGCGCTTGCCCGCTACTTCATCGGCGCCATGGCGGCCGTGTGCCTGTGCGCCACCCTCTTCGCCGTGCTCACGTTCCTCATCGACGTGCGCCGCTTCCGCTACCCGGAGCGGCCCATCGTCTTCTACTCGCTCTGCTACCTGGCCGTGGCGCTCTGCTACCTCGTTGGATTCGTGGCGGGCAGCGGGGCGGCCGCGTGCAACCCCCCCGACGCGGCGCGTGGCACCGCGCCCACGGTCACGCAGGTACGGTGGGCGTGGGAGGTGCAGGTGGTGGACGTTTGGTTGGTTGGTATGTATGTTGAACTTCTTTCGCTCTGTACATAACCAACCACGTTAAACGTAGGTGGTTGGTGGTGGTAGTAGTAGTGGAATCGGTGGTGGTGGTATTAGTGAATATTTGGTTGCTGGTGATGGTGGTGGAGATTTGGTTAGTGGTGGTGGTGGTTGTGGTTCAGGTGGTCGGTCGAGTGGGGGTGTGGTAAAACAAAGCTTATCAATTTAAACAACGGCGGTGATGGTGAGGATGATTGATATTCGTGTTGGTCATACTAATGTGAATGTCAATACTGATCAGACCAACGTTTATTTGCGATGCTCAAACACATCAGCAATGCCAGTCACCAGTTTAACACGTAGGCTTTCACGACCAATATTATCCATATTAAAGGGGTTTTTTTAATGGGTTAGATTGCATAAATATCAATCTCGTTGAACCTGCCACACGACAAAGCCAAATAGTAAGGTTTCTCACGTAAACAAAACGTGCCAATTAGTTACTATTTCAACACACACCGGCGTGTTGGAGAGTCAACCCACGACATTAACAATTCGAGCACTGCAACGTTTCACCGGTGATTACAACCAGTCGTGCTAACGCTACCACGAACCCTTCTCCCTCTCCTCCTCCTCCTCCTCCCTCCGCCGCCACCGCCAGGGCTCCCACCGCCGCGCCTGCACGCTCCTCTTCGCGCTGCTCTACTTCTTCACGCTGGCGGGGGCCGGCTGGTGGGTCGTGCTCACCGTCACGTGGTTCCTCGCCGCCGGCCTCAAGTGGGGCAGCGAGGCGATCGCGGCGCGCGCCCCGCTCTTCCACGGCCTCGCCTGGGGCCTGCCCGGCGCCCAGACCACCCTGCTGCTGGCGCTGGGCGCGGCCGAGGGCGACCCGGTGAGCGGCGTCTGCTTCGTGGGCGTCTACGACACGGCGGCGCTGCGCTGGTACCTGCTGGCGCCGCTCGGCCTGTGCGTGGCCGCGGGGCTCGGCCTGCTGCTCGCCGGCTTCGTGTCGGTGAACCGCGTGCGCCTCGTCATCCAGCACGACGCGCGCAACCAGGAGAAGCTCGTCAAGTTCATGATCCGCGTGGGCGTGTTCAGCGCCCTCTACCTGCTGCCGCTCGTCGCGCTGCTCGGCTGCTACCTGTACGAGCAGGCGAACCGCGGCGGGTGGGAGCTCGGATGGCTGCACCGCCACTGCCAGCACTACCACATCCCCTGCCCCGCGGTGGTGGGTTCGCCTCGTCGTAGTCGCTCGCTCCTCGCCCACCTCCCCCCTGCCCCCCCCACCCACTGAGCAATCATCGCTTCTCGAGCGCCACTTACCCGTGTTGTGACGGAGGCCCCGGACACCTGTCACGCGAGGGTTTGTACATCGACGAGGCGACGTCAGCGCCGGTTGTGCTCGTGGCGAAGCCGTCAACTTGACGGGAGCACACGAGCAGTAGGCTCTGTGTGTAGAGTTGCTGTAATTATAGTTACCGTCTTACGTCCCCCGTGTCTGCGACCAAGTGGGTGACGAACTTCTCCTTGTCTGTAACCTAACCACAAACGACCAGCGGGAACCTTTTGCTGGTCGGGCACTCCCAACTTCCAACGTGCAGCTACGCTGTGAAAGTTACAAAGAGCTGGGTGGCGCATTGGTAAACGCTTGGGGCCATTCAGTAACAAGGGCCCGGTTCAATTCTTGTTCCTCTGGTGTCTGTTGCTAGCGTGGTTTCCCGAGTTGCACCGCATGTTGAGCATTTCTCCTCTCAAGCTTTTGCCACGCACTACTGCGGGCATCTTCAGAAGATTAAGTTAATAATTCGTGTAGTACAAGCGACTGTGAAAACTTGCGCGTTCAACCGAATTGTGTCCTGTGCTGTGTGTTATGTATGCGTTCGATTGGCGTAACTGCAACGTTTCCGTATATGTTGCACAAATCACTTGCTTTGCATCTCGACACTAACGATCAATTAGTGAATGTTTCATATCATCTTGTTCCCCTCGCCATGTTTATCATTTTATGTAATTTATCACCACAACCACCACAATGGGCCACGGTCTTCTATCCACTGCTGGATGAAACGCTCTCGAGGCCCTCGCCACCGCTCGCGTTCTCACGATACAACGATCGGTCGGGCTTCTGCGCACGAGCCAATTTCCTCACTCCATCTCCACCTAATGTCGTATATATCCTGACGGAGCGCAGGCGGATGAGCCGGGCCGCCCGGACCTGACGCTGGTCCTCGTGCGCTACCTCATGACGCTGCTCGTGGGCATCCCGTCCGTCTTCTGGGTCGGCAGCCGCAAGACGTGCTCCGAGTGGGCGAGTTTCTTCCACCGGCGCGGCAAGCGCGAGTGAGCAGCCCCCACCCAATCGCCGAAAACCGCGTCACTTGCACGCCGCGACGTCCAAGGCCTAGGCCTGGAGCCCAGGCCACGTCCTGAAGACGCGCCAAAACATAACGCCAGATCCGCACCCGAATCAAATGTGCAAAACATTAGGAAAGCCCCCCATCGTAACAGGGCAGAAAAAACCATAAGCGTCAAATTATTTTCTACGTCCACACCTGAGCGATCGACCGCGTGGTCAAATCCATCTTGAAATAGCGCAACTTAGTCACCGCCTGCCAGCTGCTTTGTCCGCGTCTGAGTGAGCAGTTTCCCAACGAGGTAAATTGAACATCGCGTTCGGGATGGTAGCGACCAGTTGTCGTTCGCAAATGCGTCGCGTGATGAGACGCGTCGCTTCAAATTGCTGAGCGGATCAATACTTGGTCTGTCTCGACTGCGAACAGCAACCGGCTGCAGAGACGACCGCGTAGAAGCCGTTCAGTTTCGTGCAACCGAGTCGCACAACAACTGATCACTCCAGTGTGGACCCGGCTTGAGGCTTAGCTGGCCTAACCTGACTACTGAGCCCTGAGTCTTGGCCAAGCACTAAACCCAATATCTAAGTCTCACCCTAACCTGGGCATTATGCATACTCTGAACTCTAACCCTGAAGCCTACTGATAATCATAGCTGGATCCCAATGTCCAGGCCACAGTTCAGTCACTGAACCCTGAGGCTGTCTGTCTCGCTGAGCCCAAAGTCGAGGATAAACTCTGACCCAAAATTTTTTAAAAGTGATTTGCTGCTCAAATGAGCATTGAGGAAGTGCTCATCTCCTGTTTACAGCCCTGAACCAGTGGTGGGAAATTCCACGTTCCTACAGTGGCGGTGAGTCTATCCCTAGGACAAGCACTGCTTATTTGAAACTCGTTTTATCGACCCCACAGCCGGATGATGGGCTGAATCAACCCCCAACCAGGATTATAACCTGTACCCTTCCGATTGCAGGGTGCTCGCTCTACCGATGAGCCACCTGGCCTGCAGCTATGCCTAATTCCAGTTCTAAATTCAAGGCCGAAGCCTGACCACTGTCGTTGATGGTTGATTAACCATGAGGCCACAGCACTGGGAGCAGGCCCAACTCTTAAGTCCTAAAATCTAACCACAAAGTTGAGTGCACTTTTGTTTACTAAAATCCGTCAGCTTTGCCTAGTCTCTAATCTATAAAACTGTTGTATTTTTAACCACCATTGGATTCGAATCATATTGCCATGCTCATATGATTGTTGCACATCTCTGCTGACAGGCTAGAATCAAGTTCAAACTCCACATTCCTATAACGGGGTTCAACATATCTATAGGGCCGCCAGTGTCTGCTTCCTACAAAGCGGGCAATTTGATTGATTCCAGAGAAATTACATTGACCTCTCAAATATTCTTCCCATGAGACATTGCATGACAAAAACAATATCTCACTATACTGGAAGAAAGGACAGTTCAACACATCATCCTGAGTCGTGTCTTATTATCATTTCAGTTTTTTTTACGCAACTGACAAACGCTGAGACCTTTATTTTCCCGGAATACACTGACGGCCGATTTTCCAGGACAGGACAAGCCACCGTAGTTCAAGTACGATCCTGGGAAAATAAATCTAGGACAGGTGGTAACCGCACTGTGACCCCTGCCCTGTCGATCGCCCCCTCTTCCCTCCGTCAGCACGACGAGCGACTCCCAGCAGATCCTGGAGGATGTTCGCTCGCAAACGCAGGGCCAGGCGCCCGCCACCGCCGCCGGCACAACGCCGGCCCCGGCGCGCGACCCCAAGACGCCCGTGGTGCGCAAGTCCCGCGGGACGTCCACGCAGGGGGGCGGAGGAGGGGGAGCGTCCGTGGCCGGGTCGCTCCATGCCCCCACCGACGCCGGCAGCGTCCCCAGCCGCGTGGGCAGCAGCTACCACGGCAGCCTGCACCGCTCGCACGACGGACGGTGGGTGAACACCGCCTCGCTCGCCTGGCCGCTCGCTCGCTCGCTTGCTCGCACGCTTGCTCGCACGCTTGCTCGCACGCACGCTTATGCGCTTGCCTACACACTCCCTCGCTCACCTGCATCGCTTGCGCTCTCGCCAGGCATGCTCACTCACTCTCCCGCATACCCACGCACTTATTTCCTTGGTGACTCCACAGAAAATAAGCAAACACTCATGCTATCCTTTTTCCTACCAAGATTTGAAAGTGTGTTAACGCATTGGATGTGTCTGTTCGTCTCTCTGTAGTGGCGGGTCCTGATAACTCTCACACAACTTGAGTATAAAGTGGCATTGCTGTTAGGGACTTTCTTTATAGAGACCAGCCAAATTGATAAAATTGTTGCCCAAACCTGGGTAATCAAAACCAGTGTCTATAGAGGATAGGCCTTATGGATCAGAGCTGTGTCATACCACCATACACGTTAGTCGTGCTAATATAATCCGAAGACAAAGACGCGTGTCGGAAAGCGTTTTGGAATCCATGCGTAGGCATGCATTTTCTTCATTGTTATTTACGTTCCCTGCCGAGAGCCAAAGGGGGGGAGAGTAAGCGCACGTATGGCGACACACACACACACACACGTCATTGTAACGAGCGCTTCGGTGGGGAGAAGGGGGGACGGGTGGGGCCGTGGGGTGCGACAGCGCAACAAACGTCTCACGCGTGCACGCGTGTTCCCCGTGCGCTGTGCGCAGCCGAACGCCGGGCAGCGCCCGTGTCGCGGACGAGCGCCTCGTCTACTGCAGCCTCCCGCGAATGCGCGGCGGCGACGGCGCCGCTCCGGGACAGCCGCCGCACTCGCGCCACGACAGCCTCAACCGCCTCAACGGCAACTCGCGAATCGCGCGGGCGCAAGGCGGCGGCGGCGGCACGAGCATCGATCGGGCCGCGAGCCCTCGCTCGCGCCAGGGCTCGCGGTGCGGGAGTCTCGCCCAGCTCTCGGCGCAGTCGAGGCACGGCAGCCTGGTGCAGCTGGCGCCGCACTCGCGCCAGGGAAGCCTGGCGCAGCTGACGTCCCACTCGAGGCAGGGCAGCCTGGTGCAGCTCGCCCCGCACTCGCGCCAGGGCAGCCTGGCCCAGCTGACGTCGCATTCGAGGCAGGGCAGCCTGGCCCAGCTGACGTCCCACTCGCGCCAGGGCAGCCTGGCCCAGCTGACGTCCCACTCGAGGCAGGGCAGCCTGGTGCAGCTGACGTCGCATTCGAGGCAGGGCAGCCTGGCCCAGCTGACGTCCCACTCGCGCCAGGGCAGCCTGGTGCAGCTGGCGTCCCACTCGCGCCAGGGCGGCCTCCGAGACGAGAGCGTGGGCGCGCAGCCGCTGAGTCGTGGGAACAGCATGGACTGTGTGCTGGAGGAGGACTGCACGAGCGCGTGAGGGCGCGGGGACGCCGAGGCGACGCCACGCGTGCGGGAGCACGTGCGCATGTACACACGCACACGCACGCACGCGCACGCACGCAGCAACAACAACAGCAGCCGCCATTCACGACACATGTGCAAAGACAAAACAAAGACAATGACCCCCCCCCCCCCCCCGTGTAACCTTTAGCAGGCTGTTGCGGCAAGCGCCGTTAGCAAGTACTATGAAGGCCGGCACGGCACACGAGGGGGTGGGTGGCCAGCACACCGCTCCAGGTATTAGTTTGAGGCTGAGTCGACCGAGGAGAGGCCCATGACCGGTTCAGATATTCATCACTGTTGCTGGTTGTGAGCGGGAATCGAACTTGGGTCAGAGTTTCGATAGCGCAGTGCGTTAACCACATTTCTGCTCCCCATTTGCACACACACGTGCGCACAAATACACGCATGCCCACGTATGCACGCATAAATCTGCGTAGCAATATCAACCCTCTGATGTCAACCCACGTGTCCACCCTGGCACAAGCCTTCCCATTCCTAGCATCTGGGCAATCTTCTGGAGTCACAAGGGTCAGTGACCATACTCCGTATCTCCTCCACTCACCAGGCTCTATGTTCATGCAAGGTTCCTCATTACTGTTATGGATCCTTTGAAAGCCTGTAGGTCCTGGATCAAATGTAAGTCTTTGGGTCTGGAGCAATTAACCCACTCTAGATGTGATGAATCGTTATTCGTCTGATTTGAGATTCCGTTCGAGAATCAACTCTTTTTTTTTAATGGCATTGTGGTGCATGTAGCGCCTCTAGTGGCTGTAGGCTTCATCTTAACCAATTACAGCACAATAACAATGTCCAACCCCTTGTCTGCCCACTCATGTTCTGTTGATCATGGGGGCTATTTGACCATACTTCACTACCCTGGTAACGGGGGGAGGAGAGGGGGACAGAGAGGCCACGGCGGAGTGTGCAGGACCAGTTCAGGTATCACTCGACACGGTTAACCGTGGCAGGGAATCGAACTCGGTTTATTCGCAGGTCCAAAGCGATCGATTCTCGCACGCATGGCTCGATGCGTGCGTTGTGAGTGTGAGAATCGGTACACGGCTGCTGTGTGGTGTCACAATACTGGCCTGGGCCTCCCCTATGTCGACTTGGGCTTTAAATGAGTACCTGGTGTGGTGTACGTGTGTGAGCATCAGTATAGGGAAGACAAAGGTGGGCGAGCGTGCATGGCGCTGGCCACGCTGGGATGAAAACCCTCGCGTGCAAAGTGGCCACATGCTCGTCGCAGTTTTTTTTTTCTGTCCAGAGCACAGCGGTGAGAAACTTCGTATTCCTGTGGGTGGATTCAGTCAATTAAATAAGCACAACTATTGCTGCCAACCTGCCCAGCACCGAGTGGTGCAGGTGATCATTATTATTGACCGGCGTCGTCCTCGTCACCACCTCGCCGGTGTTCACGTTGGCAAATTCCCGCAGGGCCCATGGAGAATGCAGAGAGATATCTGGGGCGGGGCGCGCATTGTGGGATCGTGACGTTGACAACGACGATGATGCGAAAGTAACAATGGTGTATGACGACGATGTTTATGGACATTCGTTTAACCACAATTCACAATGCGACTGTGGCTGAGCAGTTATGATTCAGAGGATGACTGCGATAGACTGCAGGGCATGGCGGTGCACTTTGGAGGTAACGGTTGGTGGATAGTGTACGGTCGTGAAATTCCCAGTCGCTTAGAACTGCACGTTGGCCAGGAGATGGCAAGTACAGCAAGTGGGTTTGTGAACCCATCTTTGCGGACGTTTCAGTGGTATTCGATCGTATTGCGTGGCGGGTTTTCTCCGGGGCGCTCCCGTTTCTTCCCTCAAAGAAGCAAGATGCTCCAGAAATCGGCCAAACATCACAACGCAGGGCCCCTCCACCTGAAGAAAGAGCCTTGAGAACCAGCGAGGTTAGCCTGGATTCCGTGCATGACATCGCTATCGATTGTATGAAACAAAGGGAAGATTACCGTGTAGGAATTTTGAAAACTCTCGTGATGTTGACGTGAATGTTTGTGTATAGGCCTTGCGTGTCGTTAGGTCTGGTGCTGCATTTAAACAAAGAGAGAATTTCACGTTTTCATCACTGGTAAATTATCGTGACGATTAAGTTCGACGGCCAAAAGGGCCTTAAGGAGGAAGGAAAAATTCTTTTGCCTACAGCATCAACAGCATTCGATAATGAGCCCCACACCCTGCTGGTGAGACCAAGAGAAGTCAGAGTTTGGCTGCTTAAACAAATGCTGTTGGAAAACGTTGTTTTCTGAACGCCAATGGGCAGATAGAACTACATGTAATTTATATATTTTTGTGGTGTTTATTTATTGTTTTATTTCCCACAATCCACCAGGGCAGCGCATAATGATGTTTGCATGAAGTATTTGATAAATCGTTGACGGTTGAAGTTGACCAGAAAGGAAAAAAATATATATAACGTAAACTTGAGTTACTCTTGAATTTCAAAACGCAGTTTACTGTGAAAGTGGAGGGCTAAGAATGGTAAGTTACAAGTAGGGGGCATGGTAAGGCACAATTACGGAGTATTTTAAGGCACAGTGGGCATGGTAAAGCACAATGAATAACAGGGATATTAACACAAAACTTAAAAACTATAAAATACATATTTGAGTATCTTACCATCCAGGATTTATCCCATGAATGTTAAACTTTCGGGCACAGACTTACAGTATATTTATCATACGCTGTGTTGTGTACAGCTGTAGTGTTTAGGCTGAAGTAATGTTGTAATTCATTTTATGCCTGCAATCGATGCAAAACAAAATGATATGGTATTATTTTAGGTGTTAAAATTGGAGCAAAATGTCAATGTCCCCCAGGTCTCACACAAAAGAGGGCCCAACAATGGGCCCGTTTCTTTTTTTAGACGGTCATGAATCAAGGGTGATCACGTGGCATCCTATCCCAGGGCCATCAGCCCCAGGTATTCCCGGAACCTCTGGGCAGCCCTGTTTGTGATTGTATTGTTGTGTGAGCCCATCGCATCACGTTTGTTAAAATTTTAACTTTGCAATGGCAGTTAACTTTGCAATGTATTCAACGTTAACAAAACAGCTCGGTCTCCATTTTGGTGGTTCTGGGCCAATGGTGGAAACTCCACATTCCTATGGCAGGGGAAAGTTCAACCACTGGACAAAAAGTGTTGACACTGTGTGTGCATGTATATATGTATGCATGCACACAAAACCTAAGTATTTTTTTAAATGCGTTATAAATGTGGCAAATGTTACGCAAGAAAGTGATGAGCAATGGCAAAAGGGATTTTTTTTTTGATGAACGTTGTTTACTGCAAATAGATTTGATCGGTGTGTGTATAGTCGTGACAATGTAGGGCAACACATCCGCCTGCAGAGGAAACAGGTGATGTCTAATGGTGGAGTCTGTACAGCCAGTTGGTTACTCATCGTCATTATATGGTACTCGGGTTTCTTCCCATGTATAATAGTGATGATCATTATTATCATCATATGTCCCAAGCAGGACTCGCCAGCGGAGTAGTCTTGAGACTCAGTGAGGGTCTTCCAGGCTGAAAGAACCTAAGATTAAATAAAAAAAATCAACACATTCATCAAAACACTAGCTTTCAAATAGTATATATATCCATGCCGTTTTGGGCAATTGGTAATCTTAATAGCACATGCTGTATGAAGAGGATCAACAATCCGAATCACACCGATTATTATTTAATTTGTTATTGACGAATGTGTTGAGTTGTTGTGCTTGCGCGCCGCTGTTCACCAGAAGAATCGACAAATGATCTGTAAGATTTAAAATTGTAGCATTCTGTGTCCAAAATTTTAATGTAAAAACATTGCAGGAAATGTCAGTGGCCAGTTGCATATCTTAAAATCTCACTTAGTTGAGTGATTTTAATTGGAAACAAATTTACACTTAAGTTGTATGCAACTGACTGCTGAAGAGTAACCGATTTCATGATCCCCAACTCCTGAGTCGATGAGATTTCACGCATTCTGTCCCAAGAATGTCTTCTTCGAGTATTGCTGTAGCGAATGGTAGCGACCTCTAGCGGCTGCATGATCTAAAAGACATAACGACTTGAAAGAAAAAAAACTTCATGTTGATTCTTGCATGTGCGATCGATTTAGTGCGTGTATCATAAGCTTTAGAATCGGTATCAATCAACGCATCGTTGCAATGCATTTGACAAACTGTCTTAAGCACAAATTCAACATTAATCAAAATAGTATGAGCATTATGAGAATAGGGTTTCCCATTTTTTTCTGGCAACAAAACAGGTGTTAAGATGTTAAAACACCAAACTGAAACATTTTACAAGGAATCATGTCTGCATTAACCACAATACTTGTGGTCAGAATGCAAACAAAAACTCATTGGTCCACACCAGAGACAGCTTTCTTTTTGAGCCTCGTCTCAAACGTTGTTAGACCAAAGGACGCCAGAAAAAAGGGGGAAAACGTATTCTCACATCTTGAAGTATGAGCATTAACCGCGCACTTGCATGGGATATGCTGTAAGTCCTCGTTTAACGCAGTAGATGCGTTCCTGAAAAGTGCCGCTCGAAGCAAAGAACGCGTCAAGTGAAAACAATTTCCCCATACATAACGTACCGATAAAGTTTGTACGCACGCACGCGGCGAGATGTGCGGGACAATTAACTGAGGGTACGCCGCCACGTTACCGTATCATTCATTCCGCTCAGCCGCGCAGCTCAAGAAAGTAGTTCGTCATCGACCACCCAGAGACCGCGCTATAACGGCGCACGTTCCGCATTCCATGCGCAAAAGCGGTCCCTGATGGACACTGGCGGAGCCAGTGGGGGGGGGGGTGGCACGTGCCCCCCAATGATCCGATTGAAATCCCTAATTTTGATCGGATCATTGGCGGTTATTAATAATAAATCGGCATTTTGTGACCCCCACTGCCACTGTGTAGCATATTATTACGTGTCGGGGACTCTATGAGATGATAGGACAACAGTCTGAGTCCATAATTGGGAGTAAGTAACGGCAAAGCAGTTATAAGTGACTCAGAATTGTGCGCAGTTGCGTATACAGCACACGACTTCCTTGAAGGCATCAACACCTTCAGCGAGCGCGATGCCGATCACACAACGCGGTTCGAATTCGACCCTCGATCGATGGCTGCGCCATCGCCGCACACGCTTCGAATAAAATGCAAGGGACAAGTCCTTACTTACTAACTACTGTAATTTTTAATTGCCCGAGGGGTTGCCCCCCCCCCCACCTGAAAATCCTGGCTCCACCATTGCTGATGGAGTAACCGTAAAAAACGCGTTGTGTGAACGCCACGCGTTAAGGCGTTTCCGTAACTTAAACAGGCACCTTGCCCACGTGCGATGACATCATAAGCAGTCATTCAGTCGTAGAGGGTGATGTCACCGCGTCGAAGCCACAGGCGTGGCTTAAGGGGCGATGACATCGTGCGTAGACGCGGGGGGGGGGGGGGTACATTTAAATCAATGGGGGGGAACTCATCTTGCGGAAGATTCTACCAATAAAGTGCGAGTTACTCTTCCGAAAGATGTGTGGGCCCATTGGTTTGTATTGGATGTTATTTTTTTTAGAATTACATTTCGGAGGGAACATTTTTCTTATTATTATTGGGAAAGGGCGATTATATGTACCGGAATGTCCTCGCCAAGAGAAACGTTTCTGTTTTTTCGTTTCTACTAACCGTTTGGGGGATAGAGCGTGACGGACGGACGAATGGACACTGGCAAATGATATAGATGAGACTTGTCAGTTTGACAGGTCAGGCAAAACGGCCAATATCTTTGTTTACAGCTCATCGGCAAACCAACAACTCCTCCTGCATTGGCGTATTGAGCTTGTAATGACTTGGGGTGTATTATTTTGTATGTGTATATATAAGATGAACAAAACACTGGACTTGTAAATAAGTGAAAATGTGACATTGTGAGAACAGTAATTCATCTCAATAGCAGTGTGAGCCCTTCGTATACTGTACTAGCAATGAGCCTTTCCAGGCCATTTGTCATATAATGCATTAGCGATGTGTAGTATTCGATGTAAATGTTCCACGTTCGTACGTCTTTTGTGTCAGTGTCTGTCGATGTGAGCGTGTAGATGCGTGAGTCTGTGTATGCAGAAGTGCGTATCAGTGTGTATATTGCGTGGGTTGTAGAGGAGCAACGCTCACAACAACGAGCGGAGCGTCGGGCGGATAAAATGCAGCAAGTTAGCACAGTGGGGGGTACAGCTGGTGGTGCATCTACCGGTCATCTTAGTCAGCCAACCCATGGCACCTGGGTCTGTCCCGAGACCTCCTATCAGCGAGCCTTCGACACTTCACGTGGCAGCCTCAAAGTGCACCTAGCCTGGCACAGGCGCCGTGGTGACGTCACCGCCACTTAGTGGCGAATGGCGGGGGTATTGGTATGCATGTGTGTGTATGTCAGTGTGTGTGTGTCAGTGCATGTCTGGGGAGCGGTAGTGTCGCGATTAGCGCGCCGCGCTACAAACCCCGGCAACCCGAGTTCGAGCCCCGCTCACGGCCACCAACACCAGCGACGCTTATCTGAACTGGCCCTGGGTCTCCCCTAGGTCGACCTGCTGCGGTGTGTAAACATCGCGACGAGGGAGACAAAGGCGGCCCGGCGTGGTGCCCCCTCGCCCCCCCCCCCCCGTGTGCCATGCCGGCCTTATTAGGTGCTCGCTAACAACACTTGCCCCGAAAGTATGTTAAGGCTCTTAGTCTATGTTCGTGTATGTGTCGGTCCTGTTTTGCCCGTGTGTGAGTGTGTGTGAGAGTGGCAGCGTGTGGCAACGTGTGCGTGTCCGTTGTGTACGAATGTCTCTGCGGGTGCGTACGTGCGTATGCGAGCACGTGTCTTGAGTAATTTGCCACGTCAGCGCGTGCGTCACTGTGAGCGAGTCATAGGTGCTCGCAACAATCTGGGGTTCTTCGTCGTGTGCGTGTGCGCGCGCGCGCGCGTGCCTGTGCCATACTGTAAATAACGACGCCACTTTTCTTAACGCCATGTGAGTTCTCGACACTTTTTTGTGAAATAAAACGTTAAATCGGACGAGCTGTACAAATCCTTCTCTGCGCCGGGAATTATTTGACGACGCCGTGGTTTGTGACGATGCTCAAAAAAGGGGCTTTCGGAGTTATACGGTACATGGGACGTTGAGCCAACGTCTGCTGCAATATTGCCACGTTCCATGACGAACGTCCAAGTCGCGCACCCGGAATAATGCAAATCCACAAATTGTTTTGGTTTCAGATTGAATCCGAAATCGTGACGCCACAGGGTATGACGTCAAATGTGGTGTAACCTGGCATGGAGTGACCTCACTCGATGATCGGGTTCAATGTCGACGTGATGATGTAAATGGTGCACACGGTCCACGTCTCCGAAGATGCCCTTAAGAATCCAACTTTTCCATGTAAACCCATCCCGAACGGGAAAAACGATTTTACAATACACAAAACTACGGTCCTCGCGACCCACCATTGTTCGTCTTTCCGATTTCACTAAAATGATCTTTGTTTACATTGGAAATTCATCCATTCACTGGCGGAGCCAGTGGGGGGTGGGGTTAGCACGTGCTGCCCAATGATCCGATCGAAATCTCTAACTTCGATCGGATCATTGGGGTTTATTAGTAATAAATCGGCATTTTGTGACCCCCCCCCACTGCCACTATGTAGCATATTATTACGTGCCAGGGACTCTATGAGATGATAGGACAATAGTCTGAGTCAATAATTGGCAATAAATAACGTGACTTTACAGAAAGAACCAATAATATAACGGCAAAGCAGTTATAAGTGACTCAGAATTGTGCGCAGTTGCGTATACAGAGTCCACGACTTCCCTGAAGGCATCGACTCCTTCAGCGAGCCTCGATGCCGATCACACCACGCGGTTCGCAATTCGACCCTCGTCATCGCCGCACATGCGTCGAATAAAAAGCAAGGGACAAGCCCTTACTTACCGAAACAACTCCTCTATCATTTTTCATTGCTGGAGGGGTTGCTCCCCCGTACCTGAAAATCCTGGCTCCGCCATTGCATCCATTACGCGCTGTACGCACCTGCTGATTGCTAAAGGTGTGCCACGTGGCGTGGCAAAGCCTGGAGACGGACTCTTTAATGGATGTTTCACCACTGCTTTCGACCTATGAGGCCACGGAAACGTGAACAAGAAGCAAAAAGGCAATTGAAATACCATGGGACTCTTTCGTCAGCATCAAGATATTTCAAGATATCGATGCCTTGTAATTGGTGTCTATTTGGTGTTTGAACGTCTTAACACCTCATCTGTTTATTCCAGATAGGGCAAACGTTTTTTTTTAAAATATGTAATTAAATATTTTGCTACAGCCGAAAGGGCGCCATAAATGTGGGGCCGTCCATAAATGACGTCACGTTCCTAGAGGGGGGGGGGGCAGACATTTGTGACATTTATTTTTTCACCTACGTGACTTTACCGAAAAAAACAAAGAGTATTTGTGACGATGTGTGACGAGGGGGGGGGGGGTTGAGAAATGTGACGTCACACGTTCTACTTAATTAAATAGACTTTTTAATAAATTATTTCTCCTACAACATCAGAGTGCAGCGCCACATTAAATACGGACTACAATGACAATAATTTAAAGCGATTTGAAGCATTTTTATTGGGGGGGGGGGCAGAGCTTTATGACGTCATATTTGAGGGGGGGTCTGACTTTTTGTGACGCCGTGTGACGAGGGGGGGGGGTCAAAAATCGCCCCAAATCGCGTGACGTCATTTATGGACGGCCCCTGTGGGGTTATTGTGTATCAATCATCATGCGCAGGCAAAAAGTAACGACTTCATCTGTACAAATTTGAATCGAGGGAATTTGGTAAAAGGCGAGTTCAAAACCCTCAGTTCTACCCTTTAAAATACCAAAGCACACGCATTCATACAAAACAATACCGTACGGAGCATTGAAGATATATATAATGCGATCACTACTCGTTACTCTAGCATTAATAATATGACGAACACCTTGTTCCTGTAAATCATGTGTGGGCCTGAGGGGAGGGCTAGAGGGTAGCGGGGGGGGGGGAGATGGTGATGTTGATGATGGAGTTCAGGTGTGTGGTGATGTGGGTTATGGTGATGGTGATGATGGGGTTCAGGTGTGTGGTGATGTGGGTGATGGTGATGTTGATGATGGGGTTCAGGTGTGTGGTGATGTGGGTTATGGTGATGTTGATAATGAGGTTCAGGTGTGTGGTGATGTGGGTTATGGTGATGTTGATAATGGGGTTCAGGTGTGTGGTGATGTGAGTGATGGTGATGTCGATAATGGGGTTCAGGTGTGTGGTGATGTGGGTTATGGTGATGTTGATGATGGGGTTCAGGTGTGTGGTGATGTGGGTGATAGTGATGTTGATAATGGGGTTCAGGTGTGTGGTGATGTGGGTTATGGTGATGTTGATGATGGAGTTCAGGTGTGTGGTGATGTGGGTGATGGTGATGTTGATGATGGGGTTCAGGTGTGCGGTGATGTGGGTGATGTTGATGATGGAGTTCAGGTGTGTGGTGATGTGGGTGATGGTGATGTTGATGATGGGGTTCAGGTGTGTGGTGATGTGGGTGATGGTGATGTTGATGATGGGGTTCAGGTGTGTGGTGATGTGGGTTATGGTGATGTTGATAATGAGGTTCAGGTGTGTGGTTATGTGCGTGATGGTGATGTTGATAATGGGGTTCAGGTGTGTGGTGATGTGGGTGATGTTGATGTTGATGATGGAGTTCAGGTGTGTGGTGATGTAGGTGATGGTGATAATGGGGTTCAGGTGTGTGGTGATGTGGGTGATGGTGATGTTGATGATGGAGTTCAGGTGTGTGGTGATGTGGGTGATGGTGATGTTGATAATGGGGTTCAGGTGCTTGGTGATGTGGGTGATGGTGATGTTGATAATGGGGTTCAGGTGTGTGGTGATGTGGGTTATGGTGATGTTGATAATGGGGTTCAGGTGTGTGGTGATGTGGGTGATGGTGATGTTGATGATGGAGTTCAGGTGTGTGGTGATGTGGGTGATGGTGGGGAGCGGTAGTGTAGCGGTTAGCGCGCTGCGCTACGAACCTGGTGACCCGGGGTCGATTCTCGCTCACGGCTAACACCAGTGACGATTATCTGAAGCGGTCCTGGGCCTCCCCCAGGTCCTGGGCCTCCCCCAGGTCCTGGGCCTCCCCCAGGGGAGACAAAGGCGGTCGGGCGTGGTGCTAGCCACCCACCATCTCGTGCGCCGTTCCGACCTTCACAGGTGCTCGTCAACAGCACTTGCCCCAACATTCTCTCCAGGGATATTGTTTTTCTTTAGTATAATATGTATTCTATATGTTTCTACGAACACAAAGGTGGTGGGGAGGGGGATGCGATTGAGTCTGTTGAAGGGTGTGGCGCTACCTGGTAGGCTTGTGTGCTAATTGGTTTTATGATTCCCATATCCGACCAAATCTCCACACCTCCTTTCTCACCCCCCCCCCTCTCACCCACCACACCCCTCTTACCCACCCCCCCTCTCACCACACCCCTGACCCACCACCCCTCTCACCACCACCCCTCACTCTCACCACACCCCTCTCACCCACCACCCCTCTCACCCCTCCCCTCACCCACCACCCCTCCCCTCACCCCTCCCCTCACCCACCACCCCTCTCACCCCTCCCCTCACCCACCACCCCTCTCACCCCTCCCCTCACCCCTCCCCTCACCCACCACCCCTCTCACCCCTCCCCTCACCCACCACCCCTCTCACCCCTCCCCTCACCCACCACCCCTCTCACCCCTCCCCTCACCCCTCCCCTCACCCACCACCCCTCTCACCCCTCCCCTCACCCACCACCCCTCTCACCCCTCCCTCACCCCTCCCCTCACCCACCACCCTTCTCACCCCTCCCCTCACCCACCACCCCTCCCCTCACCCACCACCCCTCTACTTAAATGGATTCGTCCGCATGGAGCGCCCTGCAGGGAGGGAGATGGAGGCGGCGTTTGCGCGGCATCACCGCTCGCGCCGTCTAAAGCTAAAATAATAATACAAATAACGCCGAATACAATCTTACATTAATTAGCTCCAACGGTGAGAATTCAATACGACGTGAATTATAAAAAATATAGCCAGTATTTAAACATTGTATAAAACGGTCACTAGTGTATCAATTGGCCTCATGTAGTGTAAATATATCGTGGTATACATTTTATCTTCGTATATCGGTTCCCTTCAATGGCTGGGCTGCACTGGCTGAGGACCTGTTCGTCATTCTGCTCCGGTAATAGTGGCTATTTTTGTTAAATGATTTTATCTCGTTAATATTTTCGTTATAAATACCCTTCGTACAAATTGTTCACTTAACATCGCTTGTGACGAATGCTAGCTTCTGCGTTGTGGCGTTGTTTGTGCTGCTGCTGCTGCGTCGTTCGACACAGTGCGTAGTCAATATCGCCACTGCTTTTAAAATACGACATAAGCACAAGCTATGAAGGCCCATTGCCAGAAACGTCGCATATTATATATTGTGTAAGGCTACGGTGATATTGGCGAATGTGATCTTGTATAGTTTAACACACCGTGTGTGTGTGTGGGGAGCGGTGGTTGTAGCGCTACGAACCTGGCCCCCACCCGGGTTCGATTCTCGCTCACGGTGACGATTATCTCCGAACCGGGTCCCGGGCCTCCCCTAGGTCGACTCGGCCTCAAATGTGCACCTGGTGTAGCGGTGTGCAGACGTGGTCACTGGGGAGACAAAGGCGGCCGGGCGTGGTGCTGGCCACCCACCCCCTCGTGTGCCGTGCCGGTATTCTTCATAGGTGCTCGCTAACAGCACTTGCCCCTACAGTCTGTTAAGGTTATACCGGGGGAGGATCCTTGCGTTTAACAATGGCCATGCATTTGAAAGCGTTTACATATTTGAAACTGAACCCGCTCAGAATTGCGAATCCTGCGAGAAATTAATGGTGGTATATTTAAATCCCGTACCAAGGGGATGGTATTATTTTTAAAAAAAAAGAAATACGGATTGCATCACCGTCGCGCGACGAACACAATCCATCTATCTGTATTCGCGCGATTCCATTTCGTATCTCATCCCCCATTAGCAACAGTAGCCACGATTTATCTCCACCGCTGAGTGAAAGCTTCCCCTCCTCCCCCCAAGGCATCGAACAATCCATCGAGTTCCTTACTGCACGCGAGCCCCATTTCATTTCTCCACCTTCACGATTCAACCTCCTCCACCACGATTAAACCTCATCTTTCTCATCCTTCTCATTCTCATCCTTCTCATCCTCATCCTTTTCATCCTCATCCTTCTCATTCTCAACCACCAAACCTGCATCAACCACTGCATAGCGACGTGTCCTCTCCCAAGCCCCCCCCCCCACCACATTTATAATATTACTACTAATAGTTAATATTCGTTAACGTGCACGCCACATCCATGAGTAAACGCAGATTTTCCGCAGCATATTGCAGGATACTTAAGTACGCGGGCAACATTGTTCTGTGTGTTGCTCTGTGCGTAGATGCACAACACCATTCTCTAATTCTAGCGGTGTGTCTTGGTCTAGATTGTGTATTGGTTGTGGCCGTGTGTATTTATCGATGCAAAGCATTAATATATTTGTGGTGGTGGTGGCAGTGTTCGATCCCCGCTCACGGCTAACATCGGTGACGAAAATAAAATCTAAACCGGCCCCAAGGTTGATTCGGCGTCAAATGAGTACCTGGTGCACTGGGGATACAAAGGCGGCCGGGCGTGGTGCTATTTGTAATAGAGAGCACGGCACACGCGTGGTGTGATCGCCACCAAGCCCAGTCTCACTTGTCTCCTCACTGAGTTCACACACCGCACGGGGTACTCGTTTAAGGCCGAGTGGACCTAGGGGAGGCCCAGGACCTGGTCAGATGAACGCAACTTATGTTGAGTCGCCGGATTTTATAGCTTGGCGCAACTTGCACACTACAGTACACATACACGTGTACAAGTAATAGTAATGCTCTCTAAGATATTGCTACCTATGTGACTTTACCGAAAGAACCAGAGAATATGGATTCCTGCAGTAACGAAAGCTTCAAATCAAGATTGAAACAACAGTGATGCATATCACACACTGCATAACGGAAATCTGCATATCCGTGCATACAACACGGTCTCTATATATCACAGGGAGCCGACGAATAATCAATAATTATACACGGCTGTGTGAGCAACAGTTACGTAACGAGTTGAGGGGGGGGGATGATGAAGGGGCATCTCGGGAGATGAGATGCACGGAGATTTTGAGAGATTTGGCGGGGGGGGGGGGGTCAAAAGGGGTTCACCAAACATCTAGGGCAGGATGCTCCTCGATTTGAGTCTATGGGACTCGGCAAAGATTGACAATGGGGGACTGGCTGGACGCTCTGATTCGTGAGCGTGTTTTGTTTTGAACTGAGAACCTGGAGGTCGTGGTGGTGTAGCCCGTGTGACTTCATTCGCACCGTACGTGACCAACCGCGCTAATCTCATCTTATGTGTATAGAGCGCCTTTGATCAAGGCGTATGCGTCCTGTTTATTTCAATCTAAAAGGGCATCTCTCGCACACACACGCGTGTCGTAGCTATAGATATGCAATGCGTGCGTGGTTAAAAAAAAATCTTGATTAAAATCGTTGCCTGGATAATTCCTGGATGATGTGAAATCTCGCATTTTGCAAGAGTGTCAAGGTAATGTGGAGAAAGCCAAGTGGCCACGCGTCGTCCCCATGATATGACTTGAAATTTCTGCCTCCTTTTTTAATCACTGCTTGACTGGCAGTAATGAGTTGGAAATACGGGTTTTATTTGTGAAGAGCGACCGTGTGTTTGGGATGGCCTGCCATGTTATGTGAAGTTTCATCACACGATGGTGGGTTATGATGTCAACGGCCAGTAATTACATTGACTTTCAATATATTTTAATCGGAGTCTGTTAATTATGATGAGAATTAATGAAGATGATGATGACGAACGACATAGACGATTATTGGAAATCGCGAATGGCAAGAATATATCCGATGCTGTGATGTACAATAGAAATTATTGTGACGACACGTTGGTAATGGGATGATGTCATTGCTAATGACCATCTTGGACTATAATGACGATGGTGGTGAATATTGATGGTGATGAATAATGACGATGATGACTGAATATTACACGGGGATGATACGTGGGCTTGTAAAGCGTCTAAATATAACCGAATCTCCAAACGTGGCACAAACCACGAGAAGAATGGGGCGATGCCTCGTATGTGACCTATTTGGTTAAAAAAAAAGAAGTCCATCATAGGCAGATGAGAGAAGGGTCTTGGGCCTTGCAGTAAAATGGTAGCGGAGAGTGGGGGGCACAGATGGTTGAGGGAAGGAAGTTCCTGACTGGGCCACCACAGAGTGGAGACCAACTTCCAGCCGAGTTAAAGGCGGCCAGGAGATTCAATACGGTGATGAGGCTGGATGATGACTGTCAACGGAGATGGCTGCGACAGAAAACGACGATGAGAATGGCAGTCTTGACGGCGATGGTATCTTATATATGATATAATGATTATGACTTTCTGAAAGTAATAGTTTTAAAACTTTTCTTAAAACACGCTTTAATGAAATGTACCGTACTCGTAATGGCAGAACTCCACGACTCCAGGAAGTGGCCGCCAAGCTTGCCACAACGTAAGGGGCCGTTGTGATTTACAGCCAACGTTAGTTGAGCGTGGATAATTAGACCCAAGCCGAAGCATAACATACAAAAAATAATGTTTAAAAATATTGTTTTTATTATTTTTGATAGAATATAGTATTGTCATCAGTATGACATAAGTATACCAAGTTTGCAGTCGATACCACATTGGGAAGTGGGTTAAAATTGAGTTACAAGATTTGAGGATACGACAACAAGTGGGTTAAAACACATTCCTGCGGATGGAGCTGGTAGGAACGTTGGGTTGCTCGGTCAATGGCCAGGGTCAACGGCGGCGTGGTGTATTCCGCAAATATTCCCGACTGTGAGGGTGGGCACAAGCCGGCGTGAGTAGGTTAAACGTTGAGTTTTATAAGGGCACCACGGGGTGACCAGTCCCTCCCAACCCAGCCCCACCCCTCCCACCCCCACCCAGCCCCACCCCTCCACCCAGCCCCACCCCCCCCACCCAGCCCTCCCCACCCCCCACCAGCCCCTCCCCCACCCCCACGCAACCCCTCCCCACCCAGCCCCTCCCCACCCTCCCCACCCAGCCCATCCCCACCCCTCCCCACCCAGCCCCTCCCTCCCCATCCAGCCCCTCCCCACCCTCCCCTCTCCACCCAGCCCCACCCATCCCATTTTTGAATGCACGACGGATGGACACAATAATCCCCTGTGGGCTGGTGTATTTTAAATGACGACGGATGGACACAATAATCCCCTGTGGGCTGGTGTATTTTAAATGACGACGGATGGACACAATAATCCCCTGTGGGCTGGTGTATTTTTAATGATTCTGACGTTATTAAGCATGATGGATGTGAGACCTTCGTGATTGTTATATTGTTGATTTTGATGGTGATGACAGTGGTGGTGGTGATGATGGCTAAGTTGTAAAATGATGTTGCCGCTGGCGAATGACGAAGGGCTTTCTTCGACACTCTCGTCTCTACAAGCCCTCGGTGGATGCAGGCAATGAAGGCTCCACCCAGTGCTGAACCACGGCCGTTGGTGGGGGGGGGGCCCTGGGAGATCAAGAAAAAGAGGGGGGGGGGCATTAGTGGCCTCAAGGAGGAGGCGTGGCGAAGAGAGGTGACAAGCACGAGAGTCGAGGGAAGTCCGGGTTCATCATGGACGGCATCTTCTCTCCTCCTTCCGTTACGTGAGTCAGTCTCTGCCGTCTAGGTCAGGGGTCGGCAACCAAAATAACAAGAGGAGCAGTTCTTCCAATTCGGTACAGAATTAAATATTTCAAGAGCTGCAATGCATCTGAATGCATACTGTGCATACTGTACATAACGTCACGAAGCGGTCCGTAAAGAGCCGCAGGTTGCCGACCCCCTGGTCTAGGTACACCGAGCGGTGCATGTTGGGTAAAGGTGCACCCCTGTAACTGCTTGTTCACACCACTGCTGGTGCAATAGTTTCCACTTGAGGGAGATCGAGAGTCCCTACCCCTCTCTCTAAAGGGTATTTGGCCTTCTCTTCAACACTGGCAGACATCTAGTATGAGGTGGGGGGGGAGAACCCACATTTGACCCCCACTGCACACGACCTGCCCATCGACTAACTGCTGTGCCCATTTAGACTGCTGGGTGGACAGGGGCAAAGGGATTAGAGAAACCTGCACTCTGTTCCAGCTGCCTTGGCGGGAGTTGGAATTGAACTGGCGACCTCTCGATTGCAAGTCCAGTGTGCCCAACCATTATACATGCCATGGCAGCCAAATTGGTTTATTTAAAACATGTGTAAATGTAACAGATTTTTTTGTCCACCGCTAACATCAGTGGCTGATTTGAGATTTGCACGGTTGTAATCCTACCCTAGGTTGTCGCCGGCATTAGTTGCATACCGAGTGTGCGGTGTGTGAATGAACATTGGTCCACACGACCCCCTTCTGCTCTGTGCTGCTTTTGATACTTGGTTCAAAAGTCTCTCGGCTGCATGGGGACTCTTTTGTCATTGCATGTTAGCGTGCGTCATTTGAGGTCTTCGCTTACAACGGTGTGTTTTCGTCTGTGGCTGTCATGTATCACTGTTTGTGTCTGTCGGAGTATAGTGGTGTGGGTCAGTAGTTTTTGATTGCATCGGTCCGTGTATAATGATCTTTGGGGAGAGCTATATTGTAGTGGTTAATGTGCTGCGTTGCGAATCAAAGACCCGGGTTCGATTCCCGCTCACGGTCAACACCAGTGATTTATCTGAACCAGGTCCTGGGCCTCCCCTAGGTCAACTCGGCATCAAATGAGTACCTGGTGTGGTGTGTAAACATTGCCACTAGGGAGACAAAGGCGGCCGGGCATGGTGCTGACCACCCACCTCCTCGTGTGCCGTGCTGGACTTTATAGGTGCTTGCTAACAGCACTTGCCCCAACAGTATGTTAAGACTATATGGGTGATCTTGTCTTTGTAAAAATGATCTACACGGAATCTTTGTCTCTTTTGAACAGGAGGCCACCTGGACCCCATCACAATGCGTCTTCAATTTTCACCTCCGCCCCTGGGGCGTCACGCTTTGCTCACGAGGGCCTCATGCCTGCGACCCCTCGTAACCTCGCTCCCATCATGCACCGCGGGAAAACACCCACAATGCACCACTGTGCACCCAAAGGTGGTAGCATTCATTGCCTCCTTATTAACCCTTTCACAACACCGCATGTTTTTTGTATTTAACTGTAGGGGCACCTGGCAGCCAGACACAGTTTAAAATTAATGCTCATCATGGTCAGTTGGATTTTTTTGTCGTAAACAATTTTAGAATGTATAAGATACGACCTTGGTCATACTGTACAATAGTTTACGTTTTCTCGATTGTTGGCACTAGATGGCAGCAGACATGAGTGTGTCGGTAGGGGGCAGTAGTGCAGCTGTTTGTGCGCTGCGTTAGGAACCCCGCCACCCGAGTCCGATTCCCGCTCACAACCACCAACACCAAGTGCGATTATCTGAACCAGTCCTGGAACACCTCCAGATCAAACGTGGCCTAAAATTGAGTACCTGGTGTGGGATGTAAACATCGCCACTAAGGAGACAAGGCGGCCGGGCGTGGTGCTGGCAACCCACCCCCTCGTGTGCTGGCCTTCATAGGTGCTCTCTAACAGCACTTGCTCCAAAATGTGGACCCTAAAAACCTACAATGGTCACTTGAAATATCGGGACTGGACACAGGAGGGCATAGTCAGGTCCTCGAGCAGTGGTTCTCGGAGTGCTGTCCCCGGACAACCACTGGTCCATGACTTTCCTCCAGGTGGCCCGCGAGGCTGTGATACAAATGCAGGTTGATCCAGAAATAATGTTTATACCTTTTCCATCCAAATTTTCCGAATGATATTTAATTAATAGATGAAGTTGGGTACCCTTACCCTAAGATCTAAATGACACCCCCCCTCCCCTAAAAAAGGAACCGTATAGCTGCTTTCATTTTATGGTCCGGTAATAGGAGCCATTTTGTGTTACTGGTATTTAGATAGAAATTAATTCGTTTTTGTCACCAGGGGTGTAGGGCTGGGGGCTGGGTGCTCTGGAATGTTTACATCAGCTGAGTAGTCCGCAGACCAAAGAAGTTTGAGAAATACTGCCCGAGATGGAACCGGCTATGCAATGGTTGTTAACCAGAAGAGAAACAAAACTCATCCTATGATGGGAAATGTTTATAAACACATCCTGTGATGGGTAAATGGTAATCTTGTGATATGTGAAATATAAAATCGCTTGCTTGTTTCTTTTGAAGTTGGCTAACCCCATGCATTCTCACACAAATGCTTCTCTTATTTCTCGTACATTCTGAGTCCTCGGAAGGTCTAAGTTCTTTAACCTCCATGGACACGTTTGCTCCATTTCACCCCCTTCACCCACCAGGATCTACTCCCAGCACGCGCCAAACGGCGAGTAACGCTCCCACAATGCAGCGTGGCGGTGTTACCACAATGCAGCGGGGCAGAGCTCCCGCTAGCATAAAGACGGCAGCAACCACCAGCATGCAGCGCGCGGGTACCTACGGCTTGCTCAGCACCGCCAACGGTGCTTCCGGGTCACGGCTGGGCAAAGGTGACGGCAATAATGGACGGTACGTTGACGCCCACGACCCTGGTTACAGCAGTGGGATTGACCAAGGGGTCTGTACATGTTTAGTGAATTACTCGGAGACACTAACAGTAGGAGGCACTATATTTAATATATAGCCTTCACAGGTACGAGAGGTAACTACTATACTATGGTCAGGACAGCTAACTGGCTGCCTGACCAACAACGCCGATGAGGTGAAGACGTTGACGAGGACTCCAGCAGCACGACGGTTCCACTCCACAACAACAGCCCTGAACCCTCGCTCGGGGTTTTTCCTTTATACACCCAGCGTGGCCTCGCTCTGCCTTCGGCCACGCCTTCCTTCTAGAACCCACGAGAAGGTTCCCGGGCTTTACCACACGTACCCCCTCTATCCCCCCCCTGCCTCACATCCCTCTCTCTGGCTCATCACATCCTGCTGGCAGACAGGGTGACTACACCTCCGACCCCCTTCTGTGCCAGTAACCAGCGCTATGCGCCACAGTGACACATTCCATGTCACTACACATGTGTAATGAGAGAGCACACCGACATACGGAGGGCTGCATAGGCATTTCCGCATCGGTCATAACCAAGCAGGGCTACGGGTTCGATCTGGGCCAAAGTTCATGGGCGGAGCTGAGGGGTACATGCGGGAACCACCTAAAAGGTTCTGAAGGGGGCGTGGTTAGAGGCGGGGCTTTGCGCCGCCAAGGAGGATATAAGGAGAGGCAGGAGGAGGACTCTGGGTTCGGTGTGGAAGCCTGGGTCCGGACTGCATCCCCGTCATCTCGTCCGCCACCGACCACATGGCAGCCGCGGCGAAGCTCTCCCGATTCCCAGCGCGCCGTCGACCAGCGGTGCGCTGGGAAGCGAGAGCGAGGGAAGCCGCGCGAGGAAGGGAGGAGGAGCAGAGAGCACGTGCATGCGGCGAGAGAGAGGGTGACCATCTAAAGAGAGTGCGGAGCCGAGCAGTCATAACTAATAAAGAAGGACGCAAGTCTCAAACGTGTCGTGGAAGTCGTTTATTACACATGTACACGTGCGAAACAGCTGTAGGCTGAAGTTTGGGGTAAATAACTCTTCCCAAGCGGAGGGGGGCGGAGCTTACGGTTTCTCTATTTGTTGCACTCGTATCATTCGTTAATGTAACTTGCTGACCTGCCCCTACTGGACATCTGTGAAAAAGAGCTTCATAGCTCATCGAATTCCTCCAAAGATAACATCTCGCCTGTTATATACACGTGTGTAGTACTGTTCCTTGGCTGTATTGCTTTGTTATGCTGTTGGGGCAAGTGATGAAGGCAGGCACGGCACAAGAGAGGATTGGAGGCCAATGCCGTGCCCGGCTGCCTTCGTCTCCCCTGTGGTGATGTTTAACCACCGCACCAGGTACTCATTTGAGGCCGAGTCGACCTAGCGGGAAACCCAGGACCAGTTCAGATAATTGTCACTGGTGTTGGCCGTGAGCGGGAATCGAACTCTGGTCACCGGGTTCGTAGCGCAACGCGGTAACCGCTACACTACCGCTCCCCACGCGCGTGCACTCGCCCGCCTGGTGCCTCTCCTGCACGCGTACACTGTCTCGCCTGTGTTGGGGCTGTAGCAAGTCGAGGGAGTGCGTAGCCGGGAGGAGAGGGGCGATGTGGCGTGGGCTCCACAACTGACGCCACTGCAGCAGCGCGAGCGGACCATCCGGGAGCTGCGCGCTTCGCTGCGGGACGCGCACGCACACCTGGACGACAGGTACGATGTGTTCTCAATACCGTGGGCACCGTTGCCTTGTTCACCGAACTCGGTCATCCTCGCAGAGGCGCCTTTTGGCTGGCATCAAAAACAGATGGTCCGCCGCATTGCGCGCTATCAGATATGCTTCTGCAGCCATCTGGAATTTTCTTCCAATATGAGGAAGCCGCTGGTACTATGGACTTTCAAATCTAGATTGAAGAGTCATTTGTTTAGAAATGCTTTTTGTTTTTAGTTCTTCCCCGCACCTCAAGTTAGCACGGTTGTGCTACATAAGGTGCGAAAGAAGTTAAACATTTTTCGATTTAAAGCTTTCGTGACTGCAGGGATTCATCTTCTTGGTTCTTTCGGTAAAGTCACGTAGAATGGAAATAAAATAATAAAAATAACACAATAAAATAAAATTTCCATTCTACGTGACTTTACCGAAAGAACCAAGAAGATGAAGTTAAACATGCCTACATACATACCTTGTACGTGTTGACAGACAAAGATCCCCCGTACAGCCAAACACTTGGTTAGCGAAAAAGTACTAAACTTGCTGACCCACCCCGACAGGACATCTGTGAAAAAGAGCTTCATAGGTCATCGGATACCCTCCAGTCTAAATAAAGATTCTGAAGTACTAAGGCTGGAATGGCACACAAGCGGCTGTTTTGGCAAATAGCACGCCAGGCCGTCTTTGTTTCCCCAGAGCTGATGTTTACATACTGCACCAGGTACTCATTTAAGTCCGAGTCAACTAAAGGGAGCCCTTGAGCAGTCCAGAGATTTGTCGCCTACGTTTGGCGATGTCGCCAGCAACCTGCCTTGTCCCCCTTCTCTATCCTCGCCTCTCCACTGCCCCACACCTCCCCAGGAATCAGCAGCTGCAACAGCTGAAGCAGCAGCTGTGTCTGCTGCAGGAGCGCGCGCAGGAGGTGACCCAGCACACGGAGGCCGAGCTCATCCTGTCAGCGGCACGAGGCGAGCTGGCTCGACTCGGCAAGACCGTCCACACCTGCTGACAAGCCCCGAGCCACCGCTGGACATCTCTTCCATCAGCCGGGCCGCTCGCTGGCGGGCCTCTCACTCCAGCGAGCTCGTCCAGGAACGTCGCCGCCAAATATCTCCCTGCTGTCGCCACAGCTGCTGCTGCAGCAGCTGCGGCTGCCACCACTGTGGGTGCCGTCATTGCTGTGGCACCCATTTTCGTGACGCGACCGGTGGAAGTGGTGGGGATGAAACCCGTGTGGAAGGAGGCGCGATGCAGAGTCGTGCTGGATATCTTTGCCCCGGTGGGATCTGCGGGGGCGAGCGCAAGTGTGGCGATGGATGTTCAGCAGGCAGTGAACGCCACCACACAATGGGAGGAGAAGAGACCTGCCATCGCTTTCAAGGAAAAGGGCGCGACCTTGTACTCCTGTGCGGCGACGAGTGTCACCGTCTCGACACTCGCGGAGGAGGTGTTGGAGTGTTCGAAGAGGTGGACCTTACAAGATCTACCTTTAAACCGATGGGCGGCTGTGGAGAAGATGGAGTAAGTGGAAGCTGGCGACCGAGGGGGAAGATTTCTGCCAATGGCGCAAGGAACGGTGCGATCGCCAAAGTTGGGTCGCTCTTGCTGGCACCTGTTGATGTTAAGGTTCTTCTGGTGGCCATGATGGTGGCAGATGGTGACGAGGAGTTAAAATTTTCACATGCATGCTTAAGCGAAAACCTTGCCGATGGAGAGATTGGAGAAATACAACCTCGAAAGCCCTATTGATTTACCCCTCTTGAATCTTCACCCGCTTACCTGTCGCTCATTCTGAAGAAGCCTGGCCAATCTGACTGTTCCTATAAGAACTATGATGAAGCTGATTGAGGGGGCCGAGCGATGGAGGCGCCTCTGCGAGTTGCGCGAAGTGGCAAATGGAAGCGTGACCCGTCGCGTGATCAAAACAAGCGTTGTGGCTGGTTCGGGAGGCATACACGTTGCCGTTAAGATCCCTGCAGGAGACACGGCCCGTCGGACGCCCCTCGGTTGCATGCGGACAGGCGACGTCCATCAGCCACGGCCCGCTCGACGCGATGCACGCGAAGGATATTGGCCACATTGAGATGGATCGTGACAATGGCGAGGGGATGCGTTTGGCATTGAAGGTGCACGAGGGATGTTGAGGAAGCCAATGGGGATGACCGAGTTGGTGGTTGAAAGGTGCACGAGGGATGTTGAGGAAGCCGATGGGGATGACCGATTGGTGGTTGAGAGGACACACGAGGGATGTTGAGGAAGCCGATGGGGATGACCGATTGGTGGTTGAGAGACACACCGAGGATGTTGAGGAAGCCGATGGGGATGACCGATTGGTGGTTGAGAGACACATGAGGGATGTTGAGGAAGCCGATGGGGATGACCGATTGGTGGTTGAGAGACGCACGAGGGATGTTGAGGAAGCCGATGGGGATGACCGATTGGTGGTTGAGAGACACACGAGGGATGTTGAGGAAGCCGATGGGATGTCGATTGGTGGTTGAGAGACACATGAGGGATGTTGAGGAAGCGATGGGATGACCGATTGGTGGTTGAGAGACACAGAGAGATGTTGAGGAAGCCGATGGGGATGACCGATTGGTGGTTGAGAGACACACGAGGGATGTTGAGGAAGCCGATGGGGATGACCGATTGGTGGTTGAAAAGGGTGCAAGTAGAAATGAGGAAATTGGGGAGGACGCCACGAATGTTGAGGTAAATGAGAATGATGCCTCTGACATTGAGAAACGCCACGTGATTAAGGACATAAGAGGGATGCTGCAGCTTTTCAAGACCACACCACGGAGTTTGAGAGGGACTGCGAATACTTTGAGAACAACATCAAGAGCATTGAGATAAATTGTCAGGATACTGAGGAAGGTGCCACAGACCAGGAAAAGAACAATGACAACATTGAGAAGGACGCTGCAGGATTTAAAATCGTTGAGACCGATTGTGGTAGTGAGAACTCTAAATGGAATGCTGAGGACATTGTGGACACTGCAGAATTTGAAGACGACAGTCGAGACGTTGAAGAAGACACCACAGACTTTGATAATGTTGAGGACAACACTACCAACTTTGAGGATGAAGACTTTGAGAAAGACGTTACTAGTCTTGAGAAGGCTGAAGAAAATATTGAACCGTGTGAAGTCGTGGACAAGGGTGCTGCTGATATTGGTGAGACCACCTGTGATGCTGAGAAGGCTCAAAATAACCTTGAGGATAAAGACAATTACATGGATATTGCCACTTGTGGCATTGAGAAGGACAAGGCCAACGATTTTGAGAAAGGCGAAGCTATCGTTGAGACCGCTGTGAATGTTGAGAAGGGGAAGGTGATGGAGGACGCTCGGGACCGTGAACAAAAGGAGAACATTGAGGAAGGCATTGAGAGGGATACGTGGGATGTTCAGGAAGATAACAGAAAGAACACGGAGGCTGTCGCTAAACAGATCCATGTTCATCTTGATACCCAAGATGAGCAAGTATCCACCTTTCAACAGACTGCAGATGTTGAACAGATCCTCTCTTCAAACATCACTGTGGAGAAAGAAAAGCCTGAGGAGGATGATGACATGGAGTGTTGCATGCAGGCCACAGTCACTGGGCACCTTGAACCAGATCCCACTGGGATGGTGCCAATCCAGCAGCTGTCGGTGGACTGCACACAGGATGTTAAGCAGGCCTTCAATAACGAAGCATTTGGATCGGACTCTTTGATGCCGCGTGGAGGCCGAGAGACATTGTCGGCTGTGCTGAAACGCGGAGGCCGCAGTGCCGACAGTGATGGCAGCATCCACGCAAGCGCGGCAGTTCCCGTGCGGGGGACCTCAACTCTAAACGAGGTCGTCCGTAGAGAAGGGGGGGACGCTTCATCTCAATCGGCACAACCACCACCAACATCACTGGTGATGGCATCATCTTCAAGTTCTGCCGATCGGTCAAACTGCTCTGACGACCGGTCCGAGACGTCGCTCGTGAGACTCGCGAGCACTGATCGCGAGGCTTCCGTGGTTTCCCTTTACCAACGGCCAGCCTCCGAGTGGAGCCGCTGGGTGGCACTGGACTGGCTGGCGGCTGGAGGCCCCATGCTGCCGGGGTTGGTCGTGTGGCTGGCCTGCCGGGCGCAAGGTGGCGATGGCGCATGGCGGTGGATCGCCGGAGGATTCACATGGCCCGGGCAGCCGCTGGCGTGCGGCCTCATGGGCCTCCTGCGCTTGTGCTGTGTCCTGGGGATGTCTGGACTGCGCGGAGCTCGCAGGGAGCCAAATGACTCTGAGAAATTAGAGCCGCGGGAGGAATCTGAATCTAAATCCAGGCAGTAGCAATTCCCGACAGAAACCTGGGTTCGGTAGCTGTCTCCTCTGTATGCAGGTCCACACCCGATATGGATTTAGTTGCGCAACCAACTCACTTGAGCAGGTCACTTCAAAGTAGTCTAGTTAAGCAACCGGTTATGCAACGACTCGCAACCAGTTGCAGAGATGGTCCATGTACAAGCGGTTCTGTTGCATGCAACTGACCGCTAAAGTGTGGGTCCACCTTTAGTCATGACGGCGAGTCACAGTCCCCAACGGTAGGTTCAGTGTTTGCTGTTAAGCAAATCTCTCGAATGTCCCCGATCCTGCAAGATTGCGAAACCATGTTACGAATGTAGCTGGAGCATGGCAAGTGCATGTACGTTGAACTTCTTTTGCGCCGTACGTAGCCAACCATGCTAATCGGAGGTGCGGTGAACTTGCTGGATGTTAAGCAGGCCTTCAATGGTGAGAATTACGTTTGACCGAATCCCCCTGAATGTACCTGAACCTGCCAAAATTTGGAAGTTAAGCATAGGGTATGGCTGCCCGGTGAGTACTTGGTTGAGAGAGTGCCTGAGAAAACTTGGTTGTCGTAGGCTTAAACTGTGAGGTGGCAAGGACATTGCAGTCCAATAATGGATTCCTGAATCTGTCTGTGTGGAGTGTTGTCCCCTTCCATTAGTGGTTGGGTTTTGATTTCTGGGTCCTGTGGTTTCCTTTCATACCAAATGCTCAATAATGGCATTGGCCCAACATCTCGCTGCAGTGCCCTTCTGTGAAACCTTGACTTGCTGTCCTGGCAAAACGAGTGCATCATGGTGGATGAGTGAGTTGTTTGATAACAGCAAGGGGAAGATGAGATGTTCCCACCGTTGTGATCGCTTAAGTAGTCCCTAGAACCCACCGAAGTGAGGAGAGGTTGACAAACGGCTCAATTTCCAATTGGATCCAAGGATCGGGACATTTTAAACCTCGGTCTGCTGATTTTGTTTGGTACGTTGTTTTTTTTATTGCCATATAAACTTCTAACGTTTACTAACCGTAAAATACCAATACATTCTGCTAATTAATACAAGTTGTATATAACAACTCCAAAGTATTCATTTTGCCAGATTTTTTTCCCCTCTCCCCTCTTTACCTCCTGATGCCGTGTAGGCGATGGGAGTTGACCGAACTTGACCAGCCTGGTTGGTTCAGTACGGGGGAGGGAAGACGGTGAGGTTGGTGGAGGTGGGGGTACCCCGGACCGTTTCGGATATCACTAGCCACTGATATTAGCCATGGCCGGGAATGGATCTAAGATCGCTGAGTTCAGTCCAGTGTGGGAACTACTGCGCCACTGCTTCGCGTACCTCCCTTATCTTTGCATTATCATTCTGACATATATGATGCACAGGATGATAAAGACCCTTTGACCCAACCTACCATCTCAAATAGTGCAAAATGGCACGTTGGCATGTCCTGGTCCTTGGGTAGGACTGGAAATTGAGTTGTAGAAATAACCATGATGGGTAATGTGCCCAACATCGTCACCCCACACAATCCCCCTCGCACCCAAGAAGTTTTTCCATGTCATTTCTGCAAAATGTTCCCCGTTCAAATGAGCTCGGCCGGAAGCTGCGTTGTTGTTGAACTCTTGCGATTTGGAATGGAACTTTTTGAGAAGTTTTAAAAGGGGGTGTGGTGGGGGGGGACTCTCATCCTGCAGATGTTGGATGCCCGATACTGTTATTGCCAGTAGCACGAGGATAATGCAAGTACATACTTGAAGATTCTGTGAATGTATATTTCCTCGCATGTGTGGGACCTGTGTGTGTGGTACAGTGCTTTTTTGTGTGCAATGTGCTATCAACTCTGCCACTTGGGTTTGATTCCCAGCCATGGATAACATTCGGTAACCTCTCGAACTGGTTAATATGTAAATATTTGTCCGCAGAGCTCCTCGGAGACGACCAATTTCAATGAATGAGGTGTCCTGTGAAAGCTTATGTATGTTCTTATTTTCACCGTGCGATTCGGTGTATACAAACGATGTCCGAATTATAAAAAAAATGACCTTTGACTTTATAATCCGGGAAACAAAGACGCCCCCTCCCAACCGTTATTTTTCTCGAACAACTTAATTGTACGAAACCCTCCTTCGCCCCTCAAGTCTTTTATTTTGACCGTTGTATCTCAACGGGCTTCTGTATCTAAACGTCTGTGCGTGTTTATAACGTACTGTATATATATTACTATTGTATTGTGTTTTGAGGGTATCATCCTAGTCGCCAACAATTGTATGCATGTCAACAAATCCGGTCACCAATTTTGGTCTCGCACTTAAGTATACAGGCATACCTCCTATAGTGCTCATATGTTCTTGGTAAACAGAGCGCTATATGAAAGAGCGCTGTGGAAGGTCATTATAACATGGTTCCAATTGAGATGCGTTCCTGACCGCTATTTTTTTTACCTATAAGCTGTACGAGTGCTTCATTAAGGTATCGGTAATAGCCTTAATTATACTGTACACATGCTAAATGTTTTAACGCATTATTTGAATGATAATGACATAAAAAAATTCGATAAGTTTATGTACTCACCGGAACATTCGGTTGGAGGTTGCGTAAGATTAACCACCGTCTGCCATAAAGACATTCCGTGGGAAGGTATAGAGTACAGTACTAAACAATGGGATCACTCGATGCATTAATCGCCAATGAATGGATGCAATTATTAATCCTCCATTAAGCGATACTCTGACGATGCTGACGAATCGACTATGACCAGCAATCGATATAAATTGGACACCTCGATTCAGGTTTCACAAGATCATGCATGGGCGAAGACGTGCCTACTTCCATATATGGGCTGAGCCGCACAGGAATTTTCCTCCCAGCACAAACGTTGTTATAGGAGGCAGCGCTATAAGAGGTATGCCCGTACTTTACTGGATGACGGGCACAGCGAACATTGTTCAGAGTTGAGAGGTGCCACCTTGTGGTTTGCAGTCCAGAAACCTACTGGGTGTTTGCGGTTAATGATATGTTGGCGTCACTCCCCTTTGATGTAATGAATGTTTGTGTTTTTTTTCTTCTGAGACCCATAGGAATTTCGGAAGGACATTTCTTTTCCTTGTGCCTTGACTCGATAAAATATAACATGTAGGAGGAGTCCTTAAAGGTTAACCTGCATGTAAAAGTAGGGGTGAAGTTTTGCTCAACCT